TTGGCTTAATACTCCTGAAGGAGCTCAAGCATTTTGATTTATTTATATTTATTTATTTATTGATGCAAGGACACAAGCTGTTTTAATACAGTTCTTGGGTCTGAAAAGGCCTTTGCCCATTTAGACAGCCACGTCGCTCCTTGGAAACAAATTTCCCACAAAAATGCCATCAGTGTCCTGCAGTTCTGACTAGTTTGGCATTTCCCCGAGTGAACAAAGCACCTGCCTGTTTCTACTCCTCTTTTCTTCTGTTTTTAGGCCAGGACTGTCAAAAGTGCATGAAAGGCTAACTTTCTTCAATACTTTTCTACCTCTGGATAACATTTTTGTCACCAAAACAAAAAACACAACACCCTTCAGTACTGGTTCCATGTTTTGCTGGACAGAAGTTGAAGGCTGGAACTGTGAAACCCTCAAAATAGAAGCATCTCTTGGGAATGCTGCAACTTGACAGATGGGACAAGCAAGCTATTAGGCAAACAATAATACTGAGGGGTACTCCAAAACTCATGGACCAAACATGGATCCATTCTTACAGGAATTTGCAGGTAGGAGGAACGAGGAAAACTAAATGACATCTGGTACATCTTTTGTCTATGTCAGCAGTCAATGTCTAGTCTTTGCTCCCATAAGGACGCAAAGCCTGCAGAAGCGAGAAGGCAGGGACATAACCAGGTTTTATTCCAAGGCAGCTCACGTAACGGTGAGCAGTTTTGCATCAACCTTGAATACAGATATAGACACACTAGACAGCATAACTGCCCATCCTTAAATGATATATGTGTAGCTTCAAAAGACATAACAAAAGCACAATAGTTCTCATAATTCAATGAACATGTGCCCAGAAGGATTTAATTGCACAGACATTTTGAAAAGAAACATGCATGCAACATAAGAATGTTCTCTCAAGTGCTAAGAAGGTATGGAAAAGTCTAAGATTACCGGATGTCCTCAGACTCGGCCCCATAACAGCTCTCACAACGATCAGCATCCAAAGAACTTGGATCAAACACTTTTTCTTCTTCTTTTCCGAGCTCTAAAACAAAATAGGAGCCCAATTGATAAAGTACATCTAGAAACAGTATCTTGTATTCCTGTCTTTTCTACACACAAATGCAATGATTGTGTCCAAAGCTGGGCATCTACATCAGCCTTCTGAAATGGTATGTGCAGAGCCTGTTCAGTTACAAGACAATACCTGATAGTAGTGTGGTGTTTGTCCTCTGAAGAATACCTTCCATAGAAAAAACTAGCTATCTGTAAGCTTTGCTGGGGCACTGGCCAGTATATTACTTGCATAAAAGCTTTGTTAAAACATTGTTTAAGTAGATGCAGTCAGTAAATTGTGACTGATGCAGGACCTGTTATACAAGCAAAATTTTAAGTAACAGTCAAGGCAGTGGTCCATAATGTGTAATCTTATCCCAAGACATGAAGGGAATGTGCCTATGCAAGGCTCAGAAGGGTAAAACATCTGTGTGCTAAGAAAGGGAGAGCACTGTGTCCTCGCTGATGATGTTTGACTGTTGTACGAAAGGTAAGCCAGAAACCACATAAGCAATGGCCTGCAGAGCATCATTCTGTGCCTTTCCACAGTTTATATGCACAATATCCCGTTGTTGTTAAGATCAAGGAAACAAAAACTATTATGAAAGTACTTCCTTTCTAAAGCTAACAACATTTAAAGTAGTTGAAAGTGCACTTAAGAATTCAATCTTTAAAGACTGGTAAAGCTTTTAATTTTGTAATTACTCAAAAAAGATAGAGTCAGGAAGAATACATGTACAGCTTATTAATTGTAACACTTTGTCAAAGCTATGATTTGTACTATTTCAACAAAAGCACCTGTACAATGCATGGGGTCTTTCAAGCTATACCAGTAACGGCTTTTTAAATGTTATCAAGTAGCTGCCCCTTCATATGTCTCACAGACAAAATTCAGAAGTAATACACACATTTTAGACACTGTAAATAAACTAGAACAAATAAAACTCTGCACGGAGGGTTTCTTGCTCTCAACATACATGTACACCTTAACTTCCACACAGATAAAACATGAAATTGAAAAACTGTCTGCATTAAAATGAAGGAATTGATAAGAAGAATCAACAAAGAAATAATTTATTGTCATTCAATGTAAATGAATAAGATGATATCCAAGCACAAAATGCAATCTATCATAGAAATTACTGAGCTTGGTAACTATTAACTATTTTAACATAACTATGATTAGGAAAAGCCTCCAAATAACACTACATAATATTTGGGTATATTTTACTAAATTTAAGATCAATATTGCTATAGTCACAATTTAAATAACTGTCAATGCCAATGTTACCTATAGAAACTGGTAATCAGATTTTAATTAAGATAGGAGGGTTCTTTCTTCTGATCTGACTTGTAACACAGGTGATGAAACTGAACTAGTCCTGTACTTTCTCCAGCTTGCTGCATGCAATGCAGTTGATTTATTTTCAAGTGTCTCTTTCAGGTAAAATGAGCTGCTCCCTACAAGCCTCTCTTCTTCTCTATTGATTATATAAGAAGTCAGTGCAACCTGTTCATACAGAGTAATCCAGATGGAGTCTGGCAATACATGTAATGCCAGAGGCCTACATGTGTTAAGAGAATTAGATATGGAGAAGCTGTTTCTGTCTCCACACAGTTTGCCCACAACAATTGGAGAAATCCTCACACTTAGTGATTGTGCAGCTCTTGGCTTAGTTTAGCCCTTCAACTTTAGAAACAGCAGTTATACCTGAGTGATACAAATCAAAAATGCAGTTTATGCTGATGTATAGAACTACACTAACTCACAGAAAAGGTAATAACGATCACATAATCATAAGGGTTGGAAGGGACTTCTGGAGATCATTGAGTCTAACCCCCCTGCTAAAAGCAGGTTAAGTGTAACAAGGTGCAAGTTTAGGCATAAGGGTCTAGTCAATGGAGCTTTCCTTGGAAAAAATGTTCTTCCCTCTAACCAGGTTGCCTCATTTATTAGCCCACTGTAATCTAAAGATAGGACCAAACTCAAGTTTTGCCAGGACAGCTGCTTTATTCCTAGCAATAAATATCGTTAGTTCAGGGGTTTTATTCCTGAAATGCATCCATGATTCCTTGTCATAATTTCAGGGTGTCTAGACAAAGATTTAACTTTCAAAAGCAGCAAGTATAATAGGAGTTTGTCTGATCTTCCAGCTTAATAGATTTGGGTTCTATAAACTCTTCAAGAGTTTATGGTGTTTAAGCACCCTTCAGCTCTCACTTGTTCCCCTGAAAGTCACACAGCAATGGAAAGACTACTAGAGCATCCATGCAAGAATGACAAAATGACATATTACCATGTCTCTCAGCCTCTGGAGTCACACGATTGCCAGCTTTATCCAAACGTTGCTTAAACAGATTGTGCTCTACATCCAGCTGCTGTTCTCCTGCTACATCCATCGCATCAATGCTCAAATCTGAAACCAGCAAGCAAGTAAAGTTGTCTGCAAAAGTACATTTCTCATGGCTTGTAGCAGTCTGAGGAAGCCTTCAACCAGTTAAAATACAGAACCTTTTAGCTGGGGAATACCAATAACCGGAAGAAGATGCGTGGTTGGAGCCAACCACCTTATAGAGAATAAAATATACTGTGCCAGCATCCTAAATGACCCTTCCAAATATGGGGTTTAGTGTACAAGAATGACTGTTTCCAACTGTCACAGAAATCTTTACTCTTAAAGGCAACATAAAGTACAACACCATACAGAAATGCAAGTAGGTTTATGCCTCATCTTCATTTATGGTCTAGAGGACAGTACAGTGTAACTGGAAGCACTGGTTTAAGCACTCAGTCGGCCTGGCTGAAATCACTGCAAGGAGTCACGGATTCCTCCCTGTCCTCTGCGTAAGCAGCAGTGCAGCACTCCCAAGCAGCAGGACACTGTGCGTGTCCAGCCCTCGGCCAGTATGCACATTACCCCCGAATTTCAGAAGTCTGACTCACAAGCACAAGGCATATGCGGAAAAGTAACATCTATGTTGATCTTCAGCTTATCTCCCCTTGATTTGTCAACGTATAATTCAGGATGAACCTAAAGAAAAAAAAAAAAAGTTTTGTTTCACTTAGAAAAAAAAAAAAAAAAGAAAGAAAGGCCTCTTTCCCTTGATTTCTCTGCCTCAGGGGCTGATTTTTAATGCATGGGACTTGAGACAGGCACTAGCTCGGGTCTGCCACACCTCCCTTGGCAGCTAAACTTCTGCCACTTGCAATAGCTTTAAAAAGCAGAATAATAATTTGGGGATCTCCGGGTGTGTGGTTGGGAGGGGGTACGTCTACAGGTGCTTACTTTTCTCTGCATCTCACGCTTGCAGGCAGACAGGTAGAGACAGCAAGAGGAGATTTAGAAGACCTCTGCCGCAGCTTCACAGGTGTCCCTGGCCGGCCCCCGCGCTCGGTCGCTCTCCGAGGACACCCCACGCCCACGGCCAAGGCTGCCGGGTGCTGGCAAACAGCCCCTGAGGCGCACCGGGGCGCTGCGTGGGCGCCCAGAGGCCACCCGGATCCCTTCCGCGGCGGCTTTGAGGAGAGGCGTGAGGAGAGGAGGCAGCCCGGGGCCCCGCCGCTACTCACCTCCTTGGTGAGGTAGTACTGCAGCTCCGAGAAGAACAGCAGCACCATGATGAGCCCACTGACAACCGTCACTGCCGGGGAGACGAGAACCGCCGTCAGCCCGCCCGGCTCGCCTCAGCCCGCCCGCCGCCGCCCGGCCCGGCTCCCTCCCGTCCCGCGGGCTCCCCGCGGCCAGGGCCGGGCCCCCCCCAGCCCGCCCTTATCCCGGCCGCTCACCAAGCGCGCCCCCGCACGTCTTGACCCGAAAATCTTCCAGGGTTTTGGGGAAGGCATCGAACCTCTTCAGCCGCCACAGCGAGTCCATGGCGCCGCGCGGCCCGGAACCAAAGCCGCCTTCCGGGGCCGCCTCCCCCGGCAGCTCTCCCGGCCCGGCCCCGCGGGATCGGCCCCGCACCGCCCGGCTCCTCCTCCCCAGCCCCCAGTCCCGGCCCTTCGTTATGGTGCACGTCGCGATCCGCCCCGGCCGCCTCTTGAAGGGCGTCTAGGCCAGTGACTGAAAGCCGAGGGGCGCTCCCTGCAGCAGGCGCAGGTAACTGGCAGCCGTGCGGCACAAGGGGAAGCTGCTGGTAAAGATTTGGGTTTGCTCAGTGCCATCTATCCCCTTAATAGTGACCGTGTCTTTTAAAGATCGGCTCTCTGCAATTTCGAGAGCAAAGCTGTTTCCTCAGACGGTCCGTAGCAGCAGCAAAGCCAGTCAGCGCAGGGCAACAGTGCTTAACTTTTATGTAAAAAATAGTTTCCTGACAGTTCACAAACACAACATAAAGCCCAAGCTCAGCATCATCAAATGAGGCTAGAAGATTTTAGTACAGTGTCTTTAAAAGACGTTTAGATGTTGAGCTTAGTGATATGGTTTAGTGGAGGACTTGTTAGTGTTAGGTCAGAGGTTGGACTCGATGATCTTGAGGTCTCTTCCAACCTAGACAATTCTGTGTTTCTGTGTGCAGGGGGGAGCTCCCCCCACCTTCCCTTGCCAGGGTGCCCTTTCCAAAACTCCATTTTTGTAATAGCTCCACTTCCTTCTCTCTTCCCAATCATGCAATAGCTTACATGTATAAGTGAAAAGCTATTATCTTTTCCTAAGCCACATTACTTATCTACCGCTTTTTTTTCCCCCCCCCTACAGAAATAAGGTAGTCTTGAACAATTTATTAAACAAAGTAATTGCTGTCGTTATGAGATGCTTCCAACTGCAAACAGAATAAGTGTACCTCTACTTCCTACACCAGCTCTGAGAACAGTACAAGACAGGACATCTGTGAGGGTCCAGCTGCACCTATACAACAAAAGAAAGCATTAACAAAATATCTCCTTCTGCTGCCCACAGAATACTGCTCATCACTACCTTAAGTACAGAAAGAAATGGATTCATCCAAATACTGAATTGACTTCTAAGAATCTAATGAGAAAAAAAATCAGGAAACGTACAGAGTTTTAGAAACATAAGTTTATTGAAAAAATAAAACCATACAAAAGTCTTTGTAAACAGTACAGAAGCTGACAGGAATAACCTAACTTGGAGAGCCATGTGGAAACTGATGAGGCATGCTGTGATGGAGCACTTTGGAAGAAGAGCTTTTGCCTACTTATGCCCCTCACCTTATCCATGCAAGCCAGCACCAGTTTTGTCCCACCACTGATCTGGCAGGGGACCTTGCAGTGAATGCCGTGCTCTGAACTTTTCTCTTACCTCAGAACTCATGCTTTGAACTAATCATCCTGCCATGGTTCACCTGCTACAGCAGGCCACTGACTCATCTCCCACTGAGGCCTTTGGTTGTACACCGGTCCTGTTACCTCAGGCCATCCCTTGTGGTGGATCTGACTGTTGAATGCAATGGCTGTCTCTCAGGATACTCACAGTCCAGAGACATTAGTGCGAAGGTGTGGTTCAGAGATCGATCCAACTTCTGGGTCTCTGCCTCCAGAACAGCAGCATTGGGCTCCCTGACCACAGCTGCCAAGGAATAAGACAGCTCTTGGTGAAGGTCTGACAGCTCCTGGCTGGTCTTTGCACAACACTCAATATAGTCCTGCTTGTATTTTCGTTCTTGTGCCAACTGCTGCTGCAGAAGGGTAACCTGAAAGAGGCAAAAGGCTGATCTCAGAGAAGCCCAGGCTGTTAGGACCCTCCTTGGCTCCTCAGTACCAGCTGTCAGTGCAGAAGCATCCTCCGGCCCTGACCAACAATTTGTCACTGGTGAATGGGGTTCCAAATTCACCCTGAACAGAGCGTAGATGATCAACAATTCCAGTTTATTTCTGTCACACCATATACATATACAAAACCGGTATCTTTCATTCTTTCACACTTGCTAAAATAAAAGAGATTCCTACATGATTTAGAACCCAATTCTTTTTTTTCAAAAGAGAAATTTGAACTACTAACACCACAGGTTCCATGTGCTTTTTCCTCAGCAGGACTACTGGTTACACAATTGTCACGAGAAAGACCAGTTATTCAGGGGCAAGGTACTCAGGAATAACTGTTCTGTTATGATGTAGCTTTAAAACTTAACTGCTAACAACACATGAAAAGGGATGAAACACTCCTTTTTCCTAACTTCAGAGCTAGGGAGCCACACTACTGAAGACAGGGACAGATCTGACATTATATCTGAAATAACAAGGACACCTTTGTGAAACTGGGATGTAAAACCTGAAAAACCCTCCCACACTTCGGCAGGTAATGTAGATACAACTGGGAAAAATGGCCATTTGCTGCTTAGAGCATCTCCCAGAAAGAGGAAGATCAAGTTACAGTCTCCCATAACCAAGTAGTGCCCTCATTAGCGAGCTAAGGACTATTCTTTGACCAGAGCACCTTTATTTTCCTGCTGAATGGAAACAGGTCCACAGTGCAGGGAGACATGAGTCATAAGGGGAAAGTGGTACCATTCATTATCTCTAGCAAGAGAACTTCAGACACTGAAGCTTCCCGGTGATAACTTGTAGTCTTCAGTAGTGTGCTTAGCTCACTTTCCAGAGCTAAGCATTATGTACTTTAGCCACAGTAGTATTATATGCATTTTGCCCTTATCACCTGTGAACATCCTCAGGGAGACCAGGGCATACCTGACCCAAATATCACTATCAAATGATGGAATAGTAATTGGAATGTACACTCTTACACTGATAAAACAAATATCCTGATAGTGCTCAGGTCTCTGACGTAGTCCAATACTGGGACTGTGATTAGCACAGAATAAGAGTATGAGACTAATAATTGCCTGAAAGCTACAAGCTCAGCCACTGCCTTGTGTCCCTGGAATTCTGATAAGATGCAAGCTCCACTTTTAACCGAATCAAGGGAAAATAGAAACCATTGACAAGATGGGTAAGGCTCAAACAAAACATCCTTAGAATACTCTCTGGCTTCAGGCAAGTTTCAATTTTCTGAATTTCTTCCAATCCCTCACACACCATGCCTGACACGGAAAGTCAGAGACTAGACCTAGATGAATAGTGTTGTTTAACCATGACCAACAGATGCAGCTACCTGGTTATTTTTATTGCCTGGTGTACTCACTTCCTGACAGCTGGAACCCAGCCAAACAAAACTTGTGCTGTAACATCATGTAAAGTTGTGCTCATCAGTGCAGCTACAGCAGCTTTTGATGACAACTACTCCTCACCTGATTCTGTAACTCAGCTAATTGACTGGAGAGAGCATGAGCCTCCTCCTGTGAAGAAAAAGCAAGAATTTCTTGTTAGTTTCCAGTCTGGGCAGGGTAACTGTCTATATTAGACTTAACATTAGGTCTATACAGGGAGGACACTGTTGCCACTGGCATTTGCCATATAGTTTCTCTGTATGGCCAGACCCTTCTCCCACCAAGTAAGATTCTGTTCACACCTGTCTAGAAGCAGGCGTCTTGTCTTCATCAGACTCTGAGAGAGAAAACTTGCATGCACCTCGCAGTGACTGACCACTATAACCTCTCTTCAATCTTCTTCGTTCACGTTCCACCTGCACGTTGGATAGGAGAAAGAGTCATAGAAACTAGCCTGGACATAATTGTGAGATTTCTACTCAGAGAAAACTCTACTTACACCAGAGAAAGCTGGAGGCAAAAAGCACTCAATGTAGACTATGGAAGAGAAAAAGCAAGAGGAGGTTTCTGACACAAGAGTGTCAAATGTGCATGTATGGCAACACCAGGGCATGAAGAGTAGTACCTAAGTGAATGTTCATCTATGAAAGTAGTGTATGGCCCCAAGAGAAGGAAAACATGAAAGTGTATGTCCACAGAGGAAAGTGGGAGAGGAGGTAAAAAAGCAGAGGACTCCAAAGGGCAGTATATGGAAATGTGTTGTGTTCTGTTCTAGAAGGCCATGAGGCATTGGAGAGGCAGTGAAAGCCTGTTTTACCTGCTCAAGAGTCCTCCTGAGCTCAGCATTGAGTTGCTTCAGCTCAGTCTTTTCATGTTCCAGCCTTGCAATTGCTTGCTGCAGACACTCCAGCCGCTGCAACAGGAGTCTCTTCTCTGTGACCCATGATAGCTGCTCCCCTTCTGCAATAGCCTGTTGGGTATACACAGAGAAGATTATGTGAGCTGGTGCCACATAAAGGTTAGAAGGACCAGATCAACAAGTCAGAGAGGGTGACCAGCTTCAGGAATGGACAGTGCTAACTCCCTTCTTTCCCTCCTGGTCCATGGGCCAAAACAGCACTTTATTTTCTTGGTGGCTCTACATAGGGACCATCACGTACTCCTGTGACTTGTAACCAAATAACTTGCTTGTCCACACATAAACATAATGTGGTAAGAAACAGCAGATATCTGAAAACATACTCTAAAAACTGTCAGTGTAGCTGCTGCTCAGCCATCTTAAAAAAAAATAAATCTAAAGTTTAGCACATTAGTTTTGTCAACTGTGCTCTTTCCTCTTCATGCCAAATCCTAACCACACCATGTCACCTAAACCTACCTAGGCAGGATACTAGACAGGAGAACCAATTACTAACCCCCAACTTTTGGGCTTGATTTAACAGTAAGCTCTATAGCTCTTTCAGTAGTTCTGGGTGTGACAGAAAAAATTGTAGCAGGTGAGTGGTCTCTGGCCTCTGCTACACTGACAGACAAGCCTCTTGGCTGAAAACATGGTTTCTTTGGCCAAGCATGTAAATATTTATGGGAAACATAATTAGAATCCTTTACAGATGTTTTAGTTGACTAATGATCAGTCATACTGCCTACCTGAAGATGAAACCGGTCCTCGTCCCTGTCTAAAACCATACTTTGCAAGATGGCTATTTCTTCCCTCAAAGTCCCATTGGCCTTTTCACTCTTAGTAAGGGCAAGAGTCAGTGCTTGTGCTTTCTCTTTCCATTCGATTTCTCCACTTTCAGTCTGCTTCAAAATAGCAATCACACGCTTCAATTCTTCTCCTTTTACTTTCCTCTCATCTTCCAGTTGCTGGGCTAGCTCCTTCTGCCTTTTCAAGAAGTGGTCTCTCTCCTGGAGGACTTTCTTCCTCTCTGCTTCCTCTTCTTCCCATTTTTGGAGTTTCTGGATTTGTTTCTTTAGGGTCTCCCCTTCATCTTTCCATCGCAAAGCTGACGTTAATTGTTTCAGGAGTTCACTCTGCCTCCTAAGCTCTTGTTCTCTCCCTGTCAGAGTCTTCTCTAAATACCTGACTCTGTCTCTCTGGCACTTGATCTCTTCATCCTTCTTTATCAGCATCTGCTGAATGTGCTGGACATCTTCCCGAAGACCTCTCATTTCCTCATCTTCTAACCTTTTTTGCTCACCTTGAGCCTTAGTCTCCCATTCTTTCTCATGCAAGGCTTCTTCCAGGACCTTCTTTTGCTCTCTGTGATGTCTAATCTCTTCTTTCTTCTCAGTTAGCATAAGCTGGAGATTCTGCAAGGTCTTCAGCTCTTCTTCTTGTTGTTGAAGTTTTTGCATAAGAGTTTTGTTGTCTTCATCTCTCTTCCTCAACACTTCCTCAAGTAGATTTACTTGATTCTGGCAAGATGTTAGTGCTACTTTCATGCTTTCTTCACGAAGCTGGAACACATTAATCTGCTCTGACTGCTTAAGGATCTCCAAATTTTTCTTTTTCATTGTTTGGCTCATTTTGTTTAGGTCCTGCTGTAGACTCTTGGCCTGTTTGCCTTCCAACTCCTTCTGCTCTTGAAGTTCCTGGACATGCTCTTGCAGAGACACTCTCTCTTGATCTCTAGCTGCTAGAGAAGATTCAGCATGTTCCAGTTTTTGCAGTATAGCTGTAGTCTGCATCACTGCCTCTTCATTTTGCTGTTGAAGCTTAGAGACAGTCTCCTCCAGTATCTCTATCTTTCTTTCCCTTTCTTTCAGAGTCACTTTTGTTTCTTGAAGACTTGCTTGATCAGCTTCATGCTTTTCCTCCTTTCCTTTGCACACTTCACATTGTTTTTTAGGTGATATAATTTCTTGCTCATGTTCCTTTAGAGCCACTTTAAGATGCTGCAGAATTTCCTTCTGCTGCTCAAAGTCTCTTTCTTGTTTTTGGAAAGTCTCAATCAGTTCCTTCTGAGATTCAATCATGAAATCCTTCTCTCTCAATATTGCCTTAGTGTATTCTAAGTCTTTATATAAGATATTAATTTGTTCTTCTGTTTTTTCCTCATGTTTCCTTGTTTGTTGCTTTTGGATGTCTAGGAGTTTGTCCTTTTCTTTTAAAGTTTCTAATGTCTGCTCTAGTTGATCATGGACAGTCTTCAACTTCATTTCCGTGACTTCTTCAGCTTCCTGAATTTGTTTTTGCTGTGACTCAAGCTCCTGGTCTTTTTTAGATAAAGAAAGGGTCATCTTTTCTATTTTACCATGAAGCTCTTGCAAGTACTCCTCTTGATGTGCCTTGTACTGCTGGAAGAGTCTTAACTGATCCCTTTGAGTGTCAGACTCACTCTCTCTGTCTCTAAGAACTGCTCCAAGGTGTTCAAGACTTGCGTGCAAAGATTTTACCTGTTCTTTCTCCATCTCCAGTTCTTGGATGTGCTGAGTCAGAGACATAAGCTCTAAATTTTTCTCCTGCAAGTTTCCTTTCATATGATCAAGATCCACTAGCAGACTTCTCACTTGTGATGTACCATGTTGTTCTAGAATCATTATTTTCCCTTCCTGGAATTTGATCTCCTGGTCTCTGTCTTCCAGGTCTTTGCTCATCCTGTTCACAGCAGCCTTCTGCTCCTCCCGTTGCTTCTCCAGCTCCTGTATCAGTTCCTGCTGGGATCTGATCTCTTGTTTTCTCTCCTCCAGGTCTTTGCTCATGTTGCTTACAGCAGTCCTCTGAACCTCCCATTGCTTCTCCAGCTCCTGTATCAGTTCCTGCTGGGATCTGACCTCCTGTTTTCTCTCCTCCAGGTCTTTGCTCATGTTGCTCACAGCAGTCATCTGCGTTTCTCGCTGCTTCTCCAGGTCCCGGATCAGTTCTCGCTGGGTTCTGATCTCCTGGTCTCTGTCTTCCAGGTCTTTGCTCATCTTGCTCACAGCAGTCATCTGTGTTTCTCTCTGCTTCTCCAGGTCCCGAATCAGTTCTTGCTGGGTCCTGATCTCCTGTTTTCTCTCCTCCAGGTCTTTGCTCATGTTCCTTACAGCAGTCCTCTGCATTTCACGTTGCTTCTCCAGCTCCTGTATCAGTTCCTGCTGGGATCTGACCTCCTGTTTTCTCTCCTCCAGGTCTTTGCTCATGTTGCTCACAGCAGTCATCTGCGTTTCTTGCTGCTTCTCCAGGTCCCAAATCAGTTCTTGCTGGGTCCTGATCTCCTGGTCTCTGTCTTCCAGGTCTTTGCTCATCTTGCTCACAGCAGTCATCTGTGTTTCTCGCTGCTTCTCCAGGTCCCGGATCAGTTCTTGCTGGGTCCTGATCTCCTGGTCTCTGTCTTCCAGGTCTTTGCTCATCCTGCTCACAACAGTCCTCTGCATTTCTTGCTGCTTCTCCAGCTCCTGTATCAGTTCCTGCTGGGATCTGATCTCCTGTTTTCTCTCCTCCAGGTCTTTGCTCATGTTGCTTACAGCAGTCTTCTGCATTTCACGTTGCTTCTCCAGCTCCTGTATCAGTTCCTGCTGGGATCTAATCTCCTGGTCTCTGTCTTCCAGGTCTTTGCTCATCTTACTCACAGCAGTCCTCTGCACTTCTTGTTGCTTCTCCAGCTCACGTATCGTTTCTTGCTGGGTTCTGATCTCCTGGTCTCTGTCTTCTAGGTCTTTGCTCATCTTGCTTGCAGCAATCATCTGTTTTTCTTGCTGCTTCTCTAGCTCCTTTATTTTTTCTTGCTGGGATTCTGTCTTCTCTTTTTTCTCTTTAATGTCCTTAATGATCTGATCTAGAGTTGTTTTATGCATTTCTTCCTGGTTTTCCAGTATTCTCATCTGTTCCTGGTATAACTTCATTTCTCCCTCTCTCTTTAATAGGATGGCATTTGTTTGAGTAAGATTCTCCTCCAAAGCTTTTACATCTGCTGCCTCTTTCTGTAGCATCTGGATTTTCTCCCACTGAGTTTGCACTTCTTCATTTTTTATTTTTAAGATAGACAATGTAGTTTGAAGTTCTTGTTCAAGGGAGTGATTCATTTCTGCTGCTGTATTTGCTCGTGTTTCAGAAGCTGTGACTGATTCCTGAAGAAGTTTTATCTCCCACATTAGTTTTTCTTCAACTGCTAGCAGTCTGTCCCGTTCATGCTGCAATACAGCAAGAAAAAGATTCAATAATTACATTTATATATGTTTGGTTTTCATACTAGATTTGAACTCCCACTTTGGTGGCAGTCAAGGGCTGCAGTTTGAGCTGTAGAAAGTTCTACCCATTCAGTTAGTTTCCTTGCTTGATTTATATTTTCCATTTTCACTAAAAAAATGTTGAGAACTGTACTGTATTTAGCAAATTCTCCTTATTCAGAAGAATACTATTGGAAAAATTAAAAAATAATCACTGGTGAAAATACTATTTTTCTGCCTTCATAGTGGTCTGTGTTCTCTCTACAGATTTTGTGATATTAGTTCTCCCCCCCTTCTGGACTGTATTCTCTCATTCAAAGTATTGACTCTGCTAATTCAGCTATGGGTATTGGCAGGAAAGAAAAAGTCTGGGAAATGGGATAATGAATGGAGGGAAAGTAAAACATGAGAGACTTATTCAGTGCTTCTGAAATTTGTATCTTCTCAGATTTGGTCTAAACCTGTACAGCATCAACCAAAACCAAAACCAAATCTCTATTGAAAAAGTTGTTCCTTAGAATTATTAACAGAAGACCAAAAAATTATGCAAGAAATTGCCCTTTATGCCTTACCAGCACATCCTTTCTTTGCTTCTCAGTGCTCTCAAGTTTCATTTCCAAAGATGCCACCTCTTGATGCAGAGTCATAGCCTCCTTCTTTAGAGCAGCAGCCTCTGCCTGCAAGGCAGCTTGTAGAGAGTTCTTCTTGTCTTCTGCCATCTGCCTCTCTGCAGCAGTAAAGGTCAAAGAGAAGGTGAAAAGCAAAGCAAAGCAAAACCAAAGTGATTTGTATCTTAGGGAGAAAACAACATTTTCCTATCTGTCTGTGTTTTACAGTAGATGAGAAATTTAGAGTCCTAAAGAAAAAAGGTTGGGGGTGGGTGAGGAGGAACGAGAAGCAAAAGTAAAGACTGACTATGACACAGTTAACGACCAGGATGACATAAGAGGCTTTAGAAAATAGAACAGATACCAACATTGTGATTTAAGATACACTTTAAGGTATTTGTCCAGAAGGATACTAGGGAAATACATTGTGTGTTGACAGAGAAAAAAGAAAAAAAATATTCCATGATACTAGGACAACAGCAGAGCAGGAACAATTGAGCATCATACCAGTACTGACATCCGAAGCACACAGGATTAGACAGGAACTAAAACAAGCTAAAAGATAGAACTATAGGAATAGTTCCTGTCTAGCAATTTAGTCTAAACAGGAAAAGTACTGACCAGTGGGACAAGCAGGATCTACCCAATGGCAAAATTTAAATGCTGTTAGCATGTATGATAAGAAAACCAAACACTACAAATCTTCCAGAATAGGGATGATCTAAGGCTGGAAATCTCTGCTGTAAAGAGTCTGAAAAATGATCATTGATTCCATCTCACAGAAGTTACACAAAGAAATACTGAGTAGTTAAAGGTATTACATGAGCAGGTGGCAGTATGTGAGGGAAACAACGAGCACGAGCAATGCTCACACTTCCTGTTCCTGTAGTCTGAGACAAGGAAAACAAGACAAGAAGATAGAAAAGCAATTCTGATTTGGAGAGTGGGAAAATAACAGCAGAGAGAAGAACAGAGATGCCTGTCCAGCTCTTATACAGAGAGAACAGTAGCCCTGGAGGGCTCTGAGAAGTCCTGGATATTAGAGGAAAGTGCAATCAGTAGTATATGAAAAACACTTTGTAGATAAATCCAAAGTGAATGTGTTACCAAAGACATAAGTAAGAAGCAGCTAGGGGAGCAAGAAACTGTGTTTGCTACAGATTTGAGCTCAGATACTAGGATGCAAAAGCATTAGATAACAGAAAACTAGGAAAAACAGCAGAAGACAGGATGCATTGGCAATTACAACAACACAGTAGCTTAACACTGAACTGATGCTCTGTGAAATGGCAATGTAAGAGGAAAATGAAGTCTGCAAAGATAAGGTTTTTAGCAGGTTGGGATTTTTAAACAGTGTATGAAAAAAGATGCTGTAAGGTATCAAGTCTCACCTACTTTGTAGTGATATATTACCTGAGAGGGATCACCTCTGAACACATATCACCAGTCATAGCACTATATGCAGTGCCAGCCACTGGATCTTTGTTATGAAAAGCTTTCACTGGTAGTTCTATGGGCAAATCTCATGCTCGATTGCTTTTTCCCTCCTCCCACCTCCTGGCACTGCGCTTTTCCTGTGTGACACCAGAAATCCCTGCTCCTGAGACAGGATTGGGTCAGTGGATTGGAAAGGCAAAGCTGTACCTTCCTGGCATTGACTCAACTGCTTCTGTAGTTCTTGATTGCAGGCACTGAAGTGGTCCCTCTCAGCTTGCCTCTTGCTCAGCTCCAGCTCAAGGTCCTGTACTTTCTTCCTGGCATCATTCTGGAAGAGGCAAGAAGAGCAATATGAGTTCACAGAGCCACTGTTGGCAGAAGACAAGGAGGTACAAAAGCTAAAGGCAGAAGTAACCAAGGTGGGAGGGGGCAGTTGGACATTAATGGTAAGTGTAATTGTGATCATCTGTTTTCCCCGTGGCAGCAAGCAAACCTGGCCTACAATTTACACCAGTTCTGGCACTGGCACTCTGCTTCTCAGCTGAGTTCAGCAGAAGGACAGGATTTCTGGATGCACTACAGAGACATATTACCAGATCTTGCTGAGTCTGCCTCAGGTCCTGACGCAGGTCTTCTATGGCTGCTGCCACTTTGTCCACTGTGAGCTCTACAGGGACTTCCCTGGCCTGAGAAACAGTTAGGCTCCAAACACGATCCTGTTCTGAAGAAAAAAGCCACTGTGTTTCAAGCTTTAATATGGGGGTCCCACAAACAAGGCCTCTTTTTACATAGGAGAAGGTGGCAGCACCTTTGTTGTTGCCTTAGAGTTCACGTTACAGCAAGACATGTCATAGGCTAACATTATTTCGCTGCCCACTAACGTGGGTGCTGCTCCATGGAAGAACGCACATACACTTCCATGACTATGGGCCTCTATTTAATTTTGGTGTTGGTTATTTCTCCACATACAAACAGGAGCTTGTCTCTGTGCAGAGACTTCAGGCATTCATGACTTCTCAAGGCTTGAGTCAGTCTGAAGTGAAAGGATGAATCTATTAGGATTACAAAGAAACACCCCTTCATTTTATCTGCTCTCCTATGTGTACTCCACAGTCTCCTCAACCTTCCCACACTTGCCTGAATTCCAAGTGACCAGGCCTCTGCTTGTATCAGTGCTGTCATACAGCACGTGGTGGAGAACCAATCGCAGTTTGTCCAGTTGTGATTGGGCTTCACAATGGGCACTGTTAGCCTGCTGGCACTCTGTAGCCAATGCCTTTGCTCTATTCTCTGTGCTACAAAGCCTCAGCTGAAGTTCAGCCATCTCTGTCTCCAGCATGTGCAAGGAGTCTCTCAAGCACAGTTCGCCGGCTCGGGACTCCTCCAGATCCTGTAATAGCTGCTTCTCCCGAGCTGCCAGGCCAGCCTCCTTCTCCAGCACCACTTCCTGCAGTGACTGTACCTATGAAACAGATGCACAGAGCCTCAGGGACAGTGCTGCTACTGAGGCAGCAGAGCAGGAAGTAGAGGAAAAAATCAGGAATTACTTTAAGCAGCAACAACATTGGAAACAAAAGGCAAAAACAAAACAAAACAACAACAAAAAACACACACAAACAAACAACAACAACAAAAAAACAACAAGGATTCAGACCAAGTAAAACAGACAGTAAGCTAGAAACTTATTCTGGTGCCTGGAGGTTAAGGGGCCAAAAGGAAACTTCCCCATCCAGAAAGCAATAGCCCAACCATCAGAATTTGCAATTCCAATTTCCAACCTCAGAACAGAAGCAGCAAGTGTTTGAGTAGAAGGCTGGCAGCGTGAGGTGGCAGATCAAGCATCCCTGCACGGAGGTCAGGCTGCCAGATATGCCTGGGAGTAGAAGCAAATAGAAGTCTGTGAGCATCCCTTATTGTGCATCCCCCAAATACCAGATGAACTGGCTGAGATGGAAGTGCCTTCTGTGGTAACTACTTCTGTTTCACCAGATTGCTGGTTTCTGTCTCTATATAGAGATAGAAACACCACCTAGGGACATTCCAACATAGATACTGAGAAATTCCAAAGGAGTCTTCTGCTCTTCCTCATAAAAGGTTCAGGCTTGAACCATGACAGAACAGGGGACAACACAGGGAGAACATAGCAGATCCAGCCTTCACTTTTATGTGCAAAGTCTCTGCACAGAACACAGGAGCATGTGTTGTTGGAAGGGGAAAAAAGGTGGGGCCTACAAGCTGAAAGTGGTATTCAATTTCCCTGGAGAAGAGAATGCTGTTGGATAGGGTACCTGGTTGTTGAGCTCCTGTATTTCTCTTCTGTGGTCTGAATGGAGCTGCTGGGCCTGTTGAATAGCAGAAAGCAGTTTAGACACCTCGTTCTGCTGGGCAAGGTTGTTTTCTTCCAGGGTCTTGAGGCTCAGTTCCTTCTGTTCCAGAGACAGAGACAGCCTGAAAGAAAGAGAGCGTGACTCATTACTACAGTGTATAACATTTAGAAACCTCTTAGGACTTCCACCACCAAGGGGAAAATTACTGTCTCTGCTGAGGTTTATCTAAATAACTAGGCTGCTTGTTCAGTTCTAAGCCAGGCTGGCAATCACACCCAAGCATGTGTCCACTATGCTCACTTCCACAGAGGAAATCTGAATTATTGGCTAAATTTCATATATTTTTTTGAAATGTGAATAAGAATATAGACAACTTAATAGGGGCGTACAAATATTGAAACACTTTAACCAGAGATGTTAAAAGCCATAGTGATACCCACAGATACAATCCTATGTTCTACCATTCTGCAGTACAGGTGGTACCAAGGGGCAGTTTTACCCACCACTGGTTCTTCTCAACTTCAAGAATGCCAGAGAAGAACATAAAAGGCTAAGAACTCCAGGGAAGAGGAAAACATGCAAATTGTGAATGGGTTTATGGATAATGCATCTTTATAAATGTCTAGAATCCACAATATACCTTTTTTATCTTTCTTATCTTCTTGTTTGTCTGTATGCACACCTCTATGCTGGGTTGCTCCATGCAGTGGAGCTCATGTTAATGCTCATAGATGTACAACAAAGGGCTGGAGACCAAGAAACAGGCAATTAGAGAACTGTCTTACCACAGATTGCCTTCTACCTCACCTCTGTGAAAGCTACAGCCTAAGAAACATATCCCTCATGCTAGCCATAATGTGCACCCACACAGAGTATTTCTGAGATGTACAGACTGGGAGAAGAACTCATTGAAAACAGCCCTGCAGAAATGAAGGCAGATACCAAATGTGGTAATGGAGATTTGGAGGAAATACTCAGATCCGTATATAAGATGTAGGATTCCTCATAGCAGAAAGAAAAAAGAGTACTCTGCCTGTTACTTAACTTCTTCAGTGAAGAGTTCTGTTTAAGATTGGCAGGACTTCACCAGATGAAGTAGCCTCCTTTCTCTTCTTTGTTGCACTCCTTGGACAATAACATCGGTAACTGTTGAGGCTAGAAGGGACCCTGCTTGAGTTACCTCCAGATGCCTGTTAGGATATTTTGAGGAATGGGGTAACACATGGCAGTGAAAAACATGCTCGTTTCTTGGGAGCCTCCAACTTCCATGATGGCTTCTACCAACCATAAGTATAAGGACGGAAGACTAGTGCAGATCTTAAATGTTTGAAGTGTAGTGAACCCAAGGTGGAGCTGGTGGATCTATTTAGCCCATTATACTGCAGCTTGTCCTGCCTCCTTTGTTGTGTTCTAGGCTTAAACCCCTGAAAGTTTAATTTGCAGTATTTATAAGCTGACATAATAAAAAGAACTCCTCCTTTTAAGGAAAAGACTATTTCTAAAGCCACTGGCTTCAGAAAAAGAAGTGTGACCAAAAGAAAAAAAAGAGACATTTTCATATGCAAAAGTCTAAAAGAGGGAATTCATTAAATAGAACAGAGAGTCTTGCAGGCTTTCAATTACCTGGCTCTTTCACTCTCTAGGACCTTCAGTGAAGCTTCAAATTCTGCATTGTGACGCTCCACTTCTTCCCATCGACTCCTTTCCCCCTCCAAGGACTGCAGACACACTTGTAGCTCTTTGTTCTGATGTTCTACCTCTTCCCACTGGCTCCTCTCTTCATCCAAAATCCTCTGGAGGTGCACAACCTCCAGTACCTTCTGCCTTGACAATTCCTGTGCCTCATTCAGATCCTGCTGAGCTTTGAGGCCAATTGCTTGTTGGGACTCTTGGGAAGCTGCTAGCTGTGATGTCAACTCTTCCACCTGAAGTAACACATAACAGCACTCAAAGACTTGACAGCTTGTCACTGTCAGCCATATCATGTACTATGAAGAAAGGGGAAGAACAGATTTAAATTTCATCTTGTCACGAAGTACTAAATTCACAGTGGACAAAACTGACTTGTATAAAAATCTAGAGGGACATCACGTTTATCTGATAAAAATCAGAAAAACCAAGGCTAGCAGTAACAGACCAGCAAAAATCCATTCAGACAATTACTGGCAAACAGGCAAAAGGAGTAGCTCATCCGTCCAGGGCAGCAGCTGAGATTCAGGTGACTGCTAAGTCTCCTTTAGACCAGCTGAGATGGACACCTATGATGGCAGTCAGAGGAATTACTCCAACAGCCTGTTTTGCAACAGAAAAGCAAGAAGTAGAGACATGACCTGTTTGATAACTAAAATATCTTTTGCTGTTTAAGTTACCTGTTTTTGTAGATCATCCCTCTGATGAAGAAGAATATTCAGTTCCTCTTTGATGGTTTTGATTTCTTCCTTATGCATATTCTCCACTGCCTTGATCTTACAACGAGTTTCTTGCAGCTCTGCTTTCAGCTTTTCTGTTATGTTCTGTAAATACAAATGGAAAGCAAGTTACTGGGACCTGCCATCAGCTCCATGTTTTTCCTCCTTCTGTCTCATTCACATGCATTCAGCCACTTTCTCCTTTTCTACCCACCACTCCTTCCATTGCAACCCTTCCTTTCTTTTGCTGGCTTCTGGAGCTTACCATGCTCTGTGTCTCCAGTGTCTACAGTAGTTCTTGCCTCTTCAGTCCCAGGACCTGTGTTTCATTTTCTTCTTATTGTCCTTCACTGTTTACTTGGCTCTGTTACCAACTGCTTGTGTTTTCTACCTGCCCTACTAGTGAGACTTACCTGCCCATACACTTGCTGCTCCTTCACCTCTTGCCTCAGTTGCTCAAGCTGTTGGCAGGCTTCTGTTAGCTCTCCCTGAGTTTGCAGTAGTGTCTCTAATAAAGCTTTCTTCTCACTCTCTTTTTCTAGCAGGACCTGTACAGAAAGAGAAAAGACAGGTTTAATCTTCACAGAAAAAAATGCACACAGACTTCAAAGACTTGGAAGGCTGATAGGTTCACACATTCTCAAAGCAACATGCTGCTGGTTTCCTAGGTCACTAGATGGCACAGATTCCTAAGTGAGTTTGGCAGTATAAACATCTGCGGTCCATCTGTGACTGAGTATTCAGTAAACTTTTAACCATCTAATAGGAATATGTGTGACCTTTTTCTAGTGCTGGTGAGGATATTCTTCGTCTTCTGTCGTGTCCTCTTTGTCTTTTAATATAGACTCTTGCATCTGCTTTGCAATAAAGAACATGCAAGTCTGCCAGAAAGCTGAAGCTAGCAGCTCCTTCAGAAAACTTGTATTCTAAGTGGGGCTTGGTGAAAATTACTTCAGTTTTAAGGATACGCTGCCACCTCTTACAGCTAATTCTGTCATTTCAGTACCTGCAGACACAACTATGGGTACAGCCATGCGTTGCCAATCTGCATAAGAAGGAATTTGGGTAGAACACAAGGAAGACTCTCAGCACACAATAGGGTTGCTTTGGCACATGGGTCTGGTCACAAAACAGTTACCCAGCAAGTGACTTGAAACACAGCCTGGAGGCCATCTCTGTTACACTACTCAGAAACATTTAATTCCCACTGCCAAAAAGTCCTGCATGCCTTTCACTTCACCAAATTCAAAGTAGAAAATACTTCAAACACTTCAGAAAAAAAGGGACACTCAAGGCATGCTCTCACAGTCCAATATCCATCTAACTCCCATAACTCCATCTTTTCTGTACACATTGCTTCCTTCAGCTCACCACTGTGAGATATGATTATGGTGTTTATGCTATCTTCAGGTCTGCACTGGACTTCCTGCCTTACACTCTGATAGTCTCTTGCATTATAGGCACTGTGCTTCACGGCACAAAAGTCTTATGGTTGTTAAGGCAACTCCTGTTTACAGAAGGGCATCCAACAGACATCTCTACCCAGATGTATAGTGTCAAAAGAAAAATTACCAATAAGGAGACCAGAAGAGTAAAAACACGAATTCTGCATTCACACTCTTTACCTCTTGCTTAGCATTTTCAACTCTAGTTCGTTCCTCTTCTTGTTGAGCTTGCATTGTAGCAACCTTCTGCTTCATATCAAACAGCTTCTTCTCATGCTCACCTTCTGTCTCTGCTTTCTCCTTTTCCCATTTCTCCAGCATCTCCTGCAGCTCTAAATGGTGCCCTTCCCGCTCATTTGCCTGATGAGTGAAGGAAAAGATTTCAAGATGAAGTCTCAGGTAACCTCATAAGAAACATGTGAATCTCCATCCCTCCCCCAAGCCTCTGCCTGAACAGCAAACAGCAGTCGCCTTGTGCCCTTCAAGGAACTTAAAAGGCAGATCAGCAGGTGGAATAAAAGGAGGTAACACCTTCCCCTCTTTGATGGCTGCCTGTTTCCTAACACCTTTGTTCTTAGCATTTCTCTCTGTTCTCATCTCCATTTTCAGTACTCAAGTCCATTTTATTCAATAAAAAGATGCAGACTGACTGCAGGGTGAGAAAGAGGCTAGTATCCTGATGCTCTAGTGACAAGACAGACCATGGACTGAAGTACCAGGAACAAGGAGCTTGTCCCACATGCTTTAAACCCAAGGGTAATACCTCTGTCAACCATGAAAGGACGGAAAGAAAGGAACATAGTTTCTGTGATTGCATTTGGCAGGAATGTTAGTAATTTACCTCATGAAATACAGGAGTCTGGTCAAGATCCTACCCCTTTGCTGCAAGGCTTTGGGTTGAGTTCACCCAACCTTCTGCTGAATTTGTCTTAAGGCCACACTGAATTGGTGACTACATTTACTGTCCTGACATAGTCATGTGGGCCTTCACATACGAGACTTCAAGGATGAGCCTCTGGCTCTGCTGTCTGACCTAGCAGTGTGTGGCCTATGACAGATGATTACTGCCATTTCTCAGGCTCAGGCTATAATTATGCTAAATCTATCCCACTAAGACTGCTTGAAACCATATTGTTTCCTACCAGGTCTTGTAGGAGTTTGTTTATTTCCACTTCATGATCAGTTTGATGAAGTTTGAGAGCATTGTTATACTGCTGTTCTGTCTGCAGGAGCTGTTGTGCCATGTTTTCCCGTTCCTGCTTCATTAAAGATCTCTCTGCTTCCAGCTCACATTGAAGACACTTCACTTCCCCTGCAAACATGACAAATGGCAAGAAATTCAGTACCTACAGAAACAATGGTTCTGATTTTGCTAGCCTTAAGCTGTTTTAATTTCAGTGCAAAAGGACTCTGGCTGCATCTCCTTCATTCCTCAGCACTGCACTGCAACCAGGTGAGAGTATCACCAGAGACAAAATACATGAGGCTCTTACCTTGCACCACTTCCTTAGCCTGGATGACTGTATGCAGTTGCATTTCAAGCTGACTCCTGGTGATCTCCAGCTGAGATATACGCTGCTGCGCCTCAAACAGGCTTGATTCCAGGGTCTCCTTCACTGACCTGCATGTTGTAAACATAGAAAGAATGAGCTTCTTACTCCTAACATGCTCGGGGAGTTATTTCAGTAAGAAGTGGTTCATAATCCCCACACCTGAGAATGGAAAATGGGTTGTGTGGAAATTTATGAACATAAGACATATTTCTGCTACTTTAAATAGCAAGGCAGGCCTCTCCAAGGGAATGCCCAGGTTTTACTTATGACCTAGCATAACACAGGAAGTACAGTCTAATTTGATCTCAATAGCCAAATCTTAAATTGCTGTCATCTGATATATGACAAACAAGTAGTTGTGCCCACAGAATCTGTACCAGCAAGCAAAAATCCATCCATCAGCGCTCACAGCCCTGATATCATCAGCACTTCTGAATGACAACAGGATTTTGGAACCTGGAGCTGAAGTTACTTCCCTGCTCTAATACTGAGTCCTGTGTGCCAGTGTCTTACACTATACAGCATTGCTTCATTAGTACAGGGACACAATTAGGATAACATCATTAAAGGTACAGCAATAAAACCCACAATAGCAACATTTCACTGCTTTGTTGTACAATGGAAGACATATCTTCAAGCAAGAAGAGCAAACACATATCTGACTATGCCAATCTCTGACAGTCCAAAGTAAATGTGCTACACTTTAATGATAAATAGAAATCAGCCTTTGAAACAGAACAGAGAAGACAGAGTCCAAAACTGTGACAGCAAAAGGCTCGAGACCATCATCTGGCAAGAGCAGTTGATGATTCTTCTTGCTAATGCTTTTATCTATTAACAAAGGCTCTTTATAACTAATTTCCCTCTTCTTTTTACTGATGCTGTCACTGAAAAATAAAAAGAGCTGAATGCTTAATAAAGACTCTCTGTAAGTACCTACTGCCAATCTCTGTTTTCATGACAATATATGGAACAGATATAATCAAGCAGTAAGTATCCTCCACTTCACCTACACTGATAAAACCTGGAAAATCACATCAGTGTTACAGCCATTAGAAGAAAGAGAAGAGCTGTTTATAGACAGTTCAAGTTCAAAATTTATCATATTCCACCTTGCAGCTCTGGCTACACTCTCCTCTGGAAGTTTAGCCAGCAATAAAAGTTATGAACAAGCAGTACAGCCAAATTGACAAAATATTATTCAGCTGGATCAAATAAGAGAAGCTGGAGCTCAGAAGAAGCAGCAGCTCTCAAGAAACATACTGAGCTGAAACAGTGTTTATCAGCCTTGCCAACAACATACTCTGGAGTGGTCAAGTGTAAGTCATGATGCATGACAGACAACCTCCAAAATAACATTTATACAGCTTTGCAAGTTCAGGAGTCTTCTAAAAGCCGCCTAGAACACAGGACAAACATTGTTTGTGAAAAGCAGAACTTGTCACGTTTGATCTTAGTAGCCTGATACAGCACAAGGACAGTATCTTGTTCCTTCTCTGCATAATATCTCTGTGATATCCGTCTCTAGAGGCCACGTGCTAAGGTGTACAGGACCCACACATCAGTGATAAGCAATTCCCAAAGACTGGCAAGGTTTCAAAAGAAGCTTCCCCGCTGCAGGCAGAACCAAACCCAGGTCCTGTACCACAATTAACATGAGTTAGCTTAGAAACAGAAAGTCCTCAAGATTTTCAGCAGAAGCCTCTAGCTTTACCCTCTATGACAGCGTCCTACTCAGAATGCCTGTATATAGTACCCTTGAATCCTAAAGGTTTCTGTTTAAATGTACAGAACAAGAAAACAAAAACAAAGAGAAGCCTCAGGCTCCATTAAACATCTAGATGCAAGCAGAGAGCATGGCACTGTTATTTCTCAATGCAGAGCCAAGGTACCTGATACTGAGGATTCAGATTGGCTTGCTTTAGACTTCACAGTCACGTGCAAGGTAGCACAAACATGAGCCCAAAGCTTTGTTAGATTTAGCTCTCAGAAAAAAACATGATATACGGGTTGTTGTTTTTTCCCCTCGAGATTCTTCAGTTTTCTGTCTATGGAAGGTCAAGCTGTCTGACAAGCATACGGTTTGCAATAAATCCTTGTGTAATGATTACCACCTTTATAATTACAGACATTAAATAATGTCCTGTCTAGGGCCTCCTCCCTGCCTTTACCTGGCCTCTGCCAGCTGCTCTGAAAGGCCTTGTCTGTCCCGTTCCACAGCTGCCAGTCGCACTTCAAGGGCAGCCTTCTCATGCACCAGGAATTCCTTCTCTTTGGACACCTTGGCCAGTGCATCCTCTTGGCGAGAGGACTCTTGGCGCAACTGCTCCAAACCACTGCTAGCTGACTCTTGCTGGAGGTAAACCTGAAAGCAGGATAAAATACAGTTCTAGTCATTTCTCTGAAGATCTGCTCAGAGCCAACCAGTGTCACTTCTGAATCAGTTAGAGCTCCTGTACTGTGGGATAAAAGCCTAAGAGCATCTGCTGTATACAGCACTAATACTCACAGTGCCGAAAGGCACTGGGACTTGGAAGTGACGTGTAGGGCTATACTGGGTTGGCTGGGACCAGACAGCTACTTTAGGACAAACGTACATATCCCAGACTACGTGTTTTCATGCAAAAATCCTGCATTTTCCAGAACTGCTACCTTGCAAACTAAAATTCTCTCAGAATCTGTATCAGTGCTGGAAATTTTCAGGTAGGTTTCAGCAAAAGTAACTTTCCTCACTGAAGAGAGTTAAAATAAATATGGTTTCTCCTTTTTTTTTTTTTTTAAAAAAAAAAAAAGAAAAAAAAGAATAAATGTAAAGCTGTTGGATGCAGTGAGGTGATGTTTGATAGGGAAACAGCCCTTATGGTGAGCATTGTAATTTAGTGATTTATGAAAGTCTGGCTGACATGGCCAAAAAAATGGTAGACTCTATATAGTAATTCATGTCAGTAATAATGTTCAATCATCTTACACAAATAAGTTTTCTAATATACCTTGCTGATATTCAATCTTGAAGATTAACCACTATTTTTAAGCTTTTATCTTCAATATAACACCTTTGCTTTGTACTTGACAAACAATTTACCCTATAGCCAAAGACTAGAACAGAACAGACGATGAGAAAGAAGCTATTTTCCTCTCAGTTATCCGCAAATACCCATGACTGTACATTACAAAACTGTCATTTAAATGATGAAAAACTCTCCTCCAGTGGTATGAATCTCATGAGCTTTTTCTCTAATATATTGAAATCAGTTAGTCGAGAGAAAAGAATCTTGCCTGTTCACCTATTTCTTAAATTCCTCCTGAAAGCCTAAAGAGGCTCTAACAATTCAAACCTACAATTTATGTCTTGTCTTAAAATATAGTTTGAACAACAACAGCAAGATGTCATTCCCCTTCCTAGCAGTACAAGGCAGTAGATATTGACTTGCAGCTCTGTACTGCTTCCTACGATAAACAAGAACGGAGTTGTGAAAGTTGTGGTCTTCACAACAAAAAGCATAAATGGAAACATACAGCCTGTTTTTTACCTCAGAAAAAGATGAAGAGCTACAATTGTTTGCTTCTTTTGCCACAGATAACAGTAATAGCCTCATTCAGGTGCACAGGCAACAAAAGTAACTTCTATGAAATTTATCAAAAGCAAAAAAAAACAGGCCAAAGCAGACAACTTAAAATATGCTGTAGAATCAAAGGACAGATCAATCCCTCAGAACTACAATCTCTGCAAACCACCAAACCATTTCTAAAAGGAAGTAAAGAGAGCTTTCTGACCTCCAGTACTACCAAGCATCTTGTTGACAAAAGTGCTGAAATATCAAACAGACACAGCTTCCCTGAGCCAAGCAGCCAAATATCAGAAGAAACTGTTTTTTTGTCTTACCTGGTTGAGTTTTTCCTGGGTTTCTTCCTTCTCCTCTGTCAGTATTCTCAGTTGCACCTGCAGCCCCTCCTGTTGCTCCTCTGCTTTCTTTAGCAGCTGCTCCAGGTGGGATTTCTCTGCGCAAAGCTCTTCATTTGTTCTTTTATAAGAGCTCATCTTCTCCTGTACAGAGGTCTTTGCTCTTTCCATCTCATCCACTTTACCTGACAGAACTTCGGTCTCTTGTTCCAGCTACAGTCATGGAAGCAGAGAGGGAACAAAATACAGCAAGATTTACTCTGCATGAAGTCTGGACAGAAAAATAACACTTCTCGATATTCAGACAGTCATCCTGTCTGAAGGCAAAGTCTGACAAGAAACAGCAGCTGGAGACAATCACCTGGCAGAATCCTTGGAAACTCTGCTCACCTGCAACACAAGCTTGTTCAGTTGCACTTTATCCAATGCAAGAGCTTCATTAATACTGCTCATCTTTGCTGTGGCAACATGTAGATCAGCTATTTCAGAGCTCTGCTTATTCTGAGCCCCTGTCAACTCTGCTACTGACTGCTCTGCCTGGAGAGACAAACGAACAACATGAAAACGAAGACAGGAATATCCCTGACTTTAAGCAGCAACTCCAGATCCCCTTTGCATCTCTGACAAGCCTGATGTACTCCCATTTAAACCTTTCCAATAAGTACATGAGGATTAAATCCACCACAGAATCTGTATGGAACACAGCATTGTCCAAGAAGGATAACACCATTTTTCCCTCACTTCTACTGCCAGAAACAGCATCTGTGGTGGTCTTGCTATCAGAACCCCCTCTCCCACAAGTGCTATCTAGGAAAAAGTGGCCATACCTTTTCCAGTGCCATTGTAAGCTCGTGTTTCTCTTGCTTCAGCAGATCCCTCTGAAGGTGTGATTTCTCCAGCATCTCTCTTGTGACTACCAACTCACTCTGTAATAATGAATGTTTTGCTTCAAGTGCAGCTAAGTCCTTCAGACTTGAGAAGGGGAAAGGTAAACATGTTTTTAGTGACAAAAACATTATCCTTTCCAAAACAAAGACTACATACTACACCCCAGATACAACAGTTTGAAGGATTTCCACCAACGTTCTATTTACACTTGAAGAATGCTGGGTTTTTCTGACTAGAGCTGCGCCACTCTTTCTCACTGATGTAGGTGAAATGTTCACCAGTAAGAAAGTAAAAAAAAGTTTCAAACATCACAGTACATTTCCAAAAAGTTTGGTAACTCTTATCCTAACAGCTTCCTGCCTGTTAGTTACCTCTCTCCTTTCTGATACAATGGATAGAAGACAGCAAAGTTCTTCTTTGGATAAGATACTTTTTTGGGTTTACATAGTATTTCCCCAAACTGTTCTCAACTTCAGCACTGGAAGAGCTTGCAATCTTTTTGGGGAGGGGATGTATATGAATTTTCAAACCAATGATCATAGGACTATGTAGAGCGATTCAGGCTGGAAGGGACCCCAGGAGGTTACCAGCCCAATCTTCAGCTCAAAGCAGGATCAGCTATGGGATCAGTCCATGATGCTCAAGGCTCTATCCAGTTGGATTTTTCAAATTCCCAGGGGTGGAACCTTCACACAGCAGAACAGGTTGCTCAGAGATGTTGTGGCTGTCATGTTGTTTGTTTGTTTTTGTCATTTAAATCCAGTCTCAATATCTGTTTTAGTTTATGCCTTTCATCAACTACTCTGGTCAGGTTTGGAAAGATTTTTTTTAAAGGGTCAGAAAGAAAGGACATGGAGGCAGCTGTGCTGCATGTCAGTAGGTACCCGTAGACCTGCCCGTGTACTCCCTCAGTTTTCTACGCTACAGATGATAAGCACAAGAAATTCATTCCTTTGTTGTGGGCAAAGAGATCTCCTAAACTCTGGCAAATGCTCAGCCCTGCACAGAGAAATCTTTAACACTCACAGGAGGTCCTGGTCATGACATACTCTCTCCATTGCTTGTTGCTGCTCCAGCTTTTCCCCTTGGGCTGAATCTTCCCTCAGCTGCAGTTCAGTATTACTTCGACGCAGACGCGAGGCTTCTTGCTCACTTTCGTCTAGCTGTTGCTGTAACTCTCTCCTGGTTTTCTCTAGGTTTTCACAGTCACTGCAGAGACAAGTTAAAAGAATGAGGAGACCTGCACAACCATTGATCCCATTTTCATAACTCTAGGATGGAGTTGCGAGGAGCAATATAAGGAGGGACATGCTCTTCTCCTCACAAGATAACCGTGGAGGGAAGGAGAACTTAAGGCAGGTTTTGGCTTGCATTCAGTGAGAAGCAGTGGCTAGGGAGGCACCCAAAGAACAGATTTTAGAGAAGTGGTATGTTGAGAAGGATGCATCTTGTATTCCAACATTGCTCTACATTTCCAAAGACAGCCTTAGAATAGCAGTAGAGCATGAAAAGCAGTGAGAGCAGGATGCTAAAGTGCTGAAGAGAGGCATATGAACACTAGGGAAGGAGAGTTCTTTGACCATGACACCTTAGAACTCCCAGAGCTGGAAGCAGATTGTCTGTAAAACACAGGAGAAGAATGAAACACACACCTTTTGAGTGATTCTACCAGGGACTGAAGGTGCTGCTGTTGGCTGCTTGACATCTTACTTTCCTCTTCCAGTTGCTCAATCCTTTGCTGCAGCTTTTTGCACTTTTCTTCCTCCTGTCTGTGCTGGTGCTGCAGGGAATTTATAGAGTCTTGCCTAGCGGAAAGCTCTTCTTTTAAGGCCTGTAAGGAATGGGGAGGAAAATAGCACAAACAAGCAATAATAAGTAGGGAAGATGGCTTCAGATACAGTAACTCGAGGACAAGCAAGTAGAGACAGCTCACCTGAAGGCAACAGCTGTGATGAGGGGGAGGAGATCAGGACAGAAAAGCAGTGGAACACAGAGCTGTTGAGACTGGCAAGGAAACATAGTAGCAAGAGTAGGGTGGCTAGAAGGAAACTGGGTAAATAAACAAAAAGGTCTGAAGCCAGGTGAGGCATGAGCAGCTGAGACTGTGGCCAGTGGTGATGACAACCAGAAATTCTCACCTGTGTTGCTCTTCGCCTCCTTGCCAGTGCTTCCTGAACCAATACAAAGGCATGGTCTGCATCAAGAGAGCTCAGACAAGAAAGGATGTTGCTAGACTCCGGACGCTGGAAATGGTCAGTGCAGACAAGGCTGACTGTGCTGTCACTGTCATCTAACACCACCTGAAAGCCCACATCAAACCATCACTCTTTGCTCAAACTATTTTATCTATTTCTACTTCTTTCCCCACTTCACCCTAGAGTTATTAAAGACTCAATTCAATAATTTCTTCAATGAGAAAAGAAGTATCACCCCAGCCACCACAAGTACTCCAGAGATTTCTGAACACAGCTGCTATAAACAAGAAGAGAAGAAATAGATGTGAAGTGGTTGGAGGCTGCTTGAATGCCCAGTTTCTTAAAGCTCTTGGGAATGATTTTGGTCTCCTTCAGCTTCTCAGAACCACATATACAAGCACCAGATCAACACTGGAAATAGCAATGAAAAGAACCATTAACATTGCCCAGGGATGAAGACAGCTGATGAATACTGGAAAACAGTAATGAAATAGCTAATGTTTACAATTACTCTGAGAGGCAGCAAAAAAGGAAAAAATGACTAAAATAAGTAGAAAGAACTGACTTTGTGAGAGGCTGTCTAAAAGATCTGATGATTAAACCTCCTGTACAAGGTGAAGTTTTGACTACGTTAAAGTTACCCCTAACCAGTTGGAACAGTTAAGATTCTGTGATGATAATGGTCAGTGAAGACAGAGTGAAGGAGAAAGGCTGGCAAGCACATTGATTGAGTCAGTGACCTTTTATAAAAGTCTGAAGAACAGCACAGTCATTGCTCTAGGAGGGTTTGGGAAGCCTCCAAGCAACACTGGAGTACAAATGTCAAGTAGCCAACTCAGAAAACACAGTTCAAGAGAGACTTTAGCATGACAGTGAAGGCATAGGTACTGAAATTCCTAGCAACTCAGGTGAAGAGTCACAGGAGAGCCAGCTCTGACATTTTATGTCAGATTTTATATCAAAAAAGTGGCACAGAAATGAAACAGCCAGCAGCAGTGAACAAACACAGTATACAACACGTGAGTCTATTCACCGTGCTTTTCTATTTCCTTCATTAAGTACTTTTAAATCAAATTTACAAGGATGCAGACCCAACTTTGTACTCACCTCAGTTATATCTTTGATTAACTTTTGAAGGGCAAGATTCTCTTCTTTGGCATTTTTAGTCAATGAAGCTTCATATTCTACCTCTAATCGACTTGCTTCCTGATAATAGAATGAGGAAAGAGTGTCCAAGAGAAGCTCCCCTCCGGAGCATTCCCATCTTCAGCAGTATTATCATGCTTGTAAGCCTCAGCCCTAGTGATTCCAGTATATTACTTTCCATAATCTATTCATTTTTTTCTTTGCTAAAACTAAGAAGAGAAAGATCAGCAACTCTATAGACAGCTAAGTTGTCAACTCCAAGTAACTTTTATCACTAGAGACTTATGTCAGGGGCAAAAGTACACTAGTAAAACCTCCCTAAGGAAGGCACCCAAGATGTCTGTAGCTCCCCTGCCATTTGCCTGCACCTGGACTGACTCCACATGTACCAAACATGCTCCTGATGTTTCTGCACAGCTAGCATCTTTACTACGCTTTCTCTTGAGGAAGCTACACCTCTTTGTGCTAAGGCTGTAAAATAAAGACCTCAGACCAAGCAGACACTGGGCTATTTCCCAGATAAAGGTAAAACATACTAGAATCTCCACAGTGTTGTTAAGTGTTTTCATGGTCTTCTCCTTCTCCTCATTCTGCTTCTGAGACTGTATAAGCAAGGCTGAGAGCTCCATCACCCTGAGAAGAGAAGGTCCACGTGCCATTCCAAAAGCACACCATCAGCTGTTAAAGAGATAAGCAGCTCCCAAAAGCACAGCAGAAAAAGTTCAGCCCAGAAAATATAGCAAAGACAGATTTAATCCCTACATGTACCGTATGTTGCAGAAAGGCACTACTCGGCCCAAAGGACTCTGCACTCGGTCTTCCAAGGAAATGTCAGTACAGAGGTGCTACATTGCTTATGATAGTCCTCTGCAAATTCCTCCCAACAACTAGAGCACAGTCCTGGAGAGCAAAAGGGCTGTACAAGAGACAGAGTGCTCTTTATACTGCTCTGAATTTCTCACCAAGAACCAGTTAACAGCAAATACATTACAATATGCAATCTCCCCCCAGTCTTCTTACTCAGAAGAGAAGGGCTTCTGCTAAACTGCTAGACTCTCCTCTTCCTCCCCCCCCCCCCTTTTTTTTGTTGTTAAAGGCAATACTATGACTATGGTCAGAAATAAGGCTATAGAGAATGTATGTGTTTTCAACATGAACACAGCCTATCCATGAACCTGTGAATCAGCAGTCACAAAAGATAATGTTGGTAATGCAAAAGCTTAAAATATATTAACCTATCTTGAAGTTCTTTCTTCTCCAGGTCACCCTTGATTTGTAAGCACATCACTTCCAAAGTCTTCTGGTTTATTTCCCTTTCCATTTGCTGCTGTGCCTGATCCTTTAGGATAGGTCTACCCAGAGTGATGGACTCCCAGAGCTGTATGCCGGAGTTTAGACGGAAGCAGTTCACAAGTATGGATCCAGAGAGCCTAATTTGCTCTGCCTTCAGCTCTGACAAATCTCTGAGGAAGAATAAAGAAAAGAGCTGATGTTTGCACCACCATTTTTATCAGTTAGTCCACTTTTTAAGCACATAATTAGGCAACATACTACATCTTTGCTAGGGACAAATCATTCATTTGATACTCTGGGATTAGGATCTGTCTTGATAGTTGTAGAATGAGTCTATTTCTTCCTCAGAGACAAGAAGAAATGTGTAGCATAGCCAGAAGATTTCAAGGACTTCTAATTACTCTTATTAATTGCTGTTCTTGTTGAATCGTATTAGCATACTCTAATTATCAACACCATTAGTAGATGTAAGGAATTTTGCCAGGGTTCACAGCTTTTATACCTAGGATATCAGTGTTAAGTGACCTTTTAGTATCACCACTTAGACTGATAAGAGGCTTATGAAAATATGCACATAATAAGCATTTTGGAAAGGTAGCATAAGAATAATCTTTGAATGCTGTTAACAAAAAAAAAGCACAAATTAATTACTATGTCAGGTATACACTACACATTAAGGAAAGCTTATCAATGTATAAGAAAAATGCCTGACATTAACCCAGAGTTTGAAATTGCATGCTTACATCAGAAGAATGCAATATCAAAGCTACAATATTATTGCTTGCATAGAAAGCAACTGTGAGGAAGAAACTTCAGTGAGTCCAAGAACAAATGAAACAATAATAAAGAGGTACCAAACTAAGCAATATAAACTGGATAAATGGAGTAACAAGGTAGAAAATTTATTTTTCTCTCAACAGTGTATTCACTTACACCTGTACCAGCAAACTGCCCAGAGTAAATGTAAGCTGGACATAAAAAGAAAAAAAAACAAAAACATAATCATGAATATTTCCTTCAGAATCACCGAGATAAAAAACCCAATGAGATTTAAGGTAGATTTTAATCATTCTATAGAAAGGACTGCATTATTTACTGTATGCATAGGTTTGGTGAGTCTGTTCTCTTCCATATGTATATGTGTACCTATACATCTGAGTTTGGGCGTATTAGCCCAAATATCAACATAGTCAAGTTCATCTGTTTAGGGCCTTGGGCCTCTGCATTGCCGAAGCCCTTCAGTTTTATTTGAAAACCATCCTCAGACAAAATGAATCTGAAAGTAGCGTAAAGCACACATAATGGCATTGCTTCAGGCTATCAAAGGACAAATTGTATCTTTGTATCAGCTGTAACTAAAGCAACATCAGGATTCCAAAAGCAGATGTGAATAGAGGCTTACATTTTTTTCTCCAAGAGATGTAGTCTTAACTTCTTCTCACCTGTCAGTGGCGGTCTTCATTTCAACAAAATGACGGCGGAAGGTCACCACCTGACGCCACAGGCTCAGAAGACGGTTATGCTCACCCCTTAAGTAGCTGTCATAAAACTAAACACACAAAGACAGAAAGAAATGGCAGCCTTCCCTATTACTATACAATTCTTCTAGATCTGAGAGAGCACAACCATCATCATCAAATCTTCTTTAATAAAAATTCCAACAGGGGCATCAAGGACTGAATAGGCACCACATAAACATCCACAGTAGACCTGCTACCTGAATTCAGAGATGGGAACATCTACACTTCTCCTGTTGTAGCAGATACCAACAAAGCATACAGATCAAAGATGTCTAACAATCTAACAGGTGGAGGAAGACAAGAACAAGCCCCTCCAGTGTGACATTTTCTTGTGACAGGCTATTGGTAAGAGATGAGTGTCTTGACCTTCTCTTAGCTACTCTGAATTTGAAAATACGGAGACCTCTCTGTGTTTCACTGTTGGTATTTAAGAAATGTTAATAAATATATAAAAGAAAAAAAATAGGGAGTTCATGCATGACTGCCCTACAGTGTCCAGCAACAGGCACACTCCTTCATCCCACACCAATGTTCTTCTAGCCAGCACCAATACATTCTCAATAGAGCAACAACTTTTACACAATAAATTGCCTATGTCAGCAGTAAACTGTACTCTCATTCCAGTCTGTTATCACGTTGACATTCCTATAGCCTATCCTTACCTCACGTTCATTGTGCCATTCACTCTCCTTCAATTCCAGTTCCTTCCGGGCCCTCATCCAATCTGCTGTCAGTTTTCCAACATCTTCTTTAAGAGCTGAATTCACCTCATTTGCTTTATCCAGGTGCTCCCGCAGGAGAGTGTTCACTTCTGCCAGGTTCTCACACCTTAGAAAGGAAGAAACAGCAATGAGCTCATTGAACAACTGCTATCCACAAGCAACATCCTCACAGTTCTCCATCTCCCTCAACACTGACTTTCTTAGTGAACTGAAAGATAGTAAATGTGCTTTCTAGGAATAACTAAGACATCTCTGACATGGTACTCATTTTTTTCTTCTTATTTTAAGTCTTCATTTTCCATCTACAATTTCAGTCTCCCCTTCTTCTTCAACTTCACCATTAACATCTTTCCTTTCCTCTGCTCTGTCATCCTGCATCCCGATGGAAGCACAATTGTCCTGACCACCTATCTACTTCCACTCACATCTGTAAGTTTCCATATCCCATCCCTTGCAATATTGGTTGTACTTCTGCCCTCGCCTTTTTTTTTTTTTTTAAGAGTCTCTCAGTCCTTGTCCAATACACCAGGACTTGCAGTAAAAACCCCACCTCGTTGATACACTAAACTGCACACCACTAAACCAAGACCATATATATGGGGGAAATAGCTTTAAATGACACTTTCAACTGAAAGAAACTTCTACAGGGTTCCCAAAGTGCAGTGCATTTGTAGCCCACAAAAAGGCTTTTGACTATGCTCATTGTAATGAACATAAATATCAAACACTGCAGGCTAACTACATTTGGGCCACAGCCTAATATATCCCACTCGGAAATTATTTCATGAACAAAATCCGAAGACTGTTGCCCAGCAAACAAGAACAAAGTTCAGTTTCTGGATAAAAACAGGAGTTGTGCTTCCCTCATTTTACTTTGTAACACAGGTAACACAGCACACAGATGTACTTTATACCTCACACCGTTCATGTCTTGAGCAGAGGGAGAAAGAGAAGCACAGAAAAATATGACAGAAGATGCCTGTGTTGCCAAATGTTCTACTGAAAGGCTTTGATATAAGCACAGGATATGCTATTCAGACAAAATACAACTCCAAACCAAACAGGAAAACACCTGCCGCATGAAATCCTTAGGATGTTAGGGCTTGATTTCCAACATAAAGCAGAGCTTTACTGAGCAGATCACCTATGGAATAATAAGAAAATTCAGGCTGGAGATGGACCTTTGGAGGTCATATGACCAACCCCCACTGAAAACAGAGCTATTCAGCACACATCACTATTAACTGCACCACAGAATGGACTGTGGACCTTTCTCCTTTCAAAATGGCCTGTCCAGCCACTTCCAAACTGACAGGATTTCTCTTGCTTCCTTGAGCATCCAAGACACCAAGAATGCGCTATTGCTCCTCCTTTTTACCTTCGCTGCTCCTCTTCCAACTGGAGCAGTGCTTTTTCCAAGTTGTGATCCTCTGTGGGTTCCCATTTGTCTGGAACGGATCCCTTAAGAAAGGAAAAGTTTAGTCAAATTCTTGCATTTCTTTCACTACTGTTATCATCCACTGGTTTCCCCTCCATTTGTTTGGTATCTCAGGAACTTGTATCTTCTTCCAGGAATTAGTGTCACAAACACAGAGAGGAAGGGAGGGGAAGAGTCAGTAGTTCTCCTATTTTCACACTCTCACAGCTATCTGTTCTCAGCTAATGACCACAAGTGCTCACTTAGACTTGAAGCTTGGAAATACATACTCTCCTAATCTTTGTTTCCTGGGTTTACTTTAGCCATGAAGCAAAAAGAAAAGCAGAGAGCGTTCCAAGACGCTATGTTTCAACCAATTCTTATTCAGAGACAGACATAATGTAACAGGCAGGATAGCCCTCTCCTGAGACTTAGGACAAATGTTACTCCAACTATAAAGCACTCTTTCACAAAATTAAAATCCTTCTTGATGTTTTTTTTTTTTTTTGGACTGGCATTTCTATGACTACAGGGTGCTCTAAGAATGGCAACTGAACAAAATACTGAAAGTCAAAGTTACAGTGCTTCTTTAAATCCTCCTTTCAGGACAATCTTGTTTTCGTCTGCTGTTGTTTTAGGGGGCCTTTAATCTGATTTAACAAGTGTTACGTACCTGCCCACTCACCCCTCCGGCTTCAAGTTGCTGCTCCAACTCACGACACCAGTTCCGATACTGCAGCAACTAAGATGGATATACAGAATTTTAGGATGAGAGAAAATAAGCTTATAACAGACTCAGCTCCTCCTGTGTTAGGTTTTCTCTAAGCCTTTCCAGACAGAGCCTAGTACATTTCACAGCACTGCTGACATACAGAGAAATCATTATCACATGGAAGCTTCACCTCATCTAATACTAAAAAAGTGAGAAAGGGTTTATTTTATGCATAGTATTATCTGCTCATCCTGAGAGAGTGAGATGACAAGCAGAATGATGAGACCAACTTAAAACAGCCATGCCAGGCCAACTCCATCCATCAGACTGAAGATTATCCTGTTTAAACCTCACCAAACAACATTAAATCCAGAAGGAATTGCCAACACCAAAATCAATGTAAAATCCTAGTAAAATCATTTTTAATTACAGGTTTGGAAGAAAAAAAATTACAAGGTGGCTCAGGATGCCTCAAAAACAGTCAGGTTTCTGTTAACCAAATAATACTTTGTGTATCACCAGTATCTTACACAGGTTCATCAGAGAAAAATGCTGTTTCTTGCTACACAGCAAAACAAAGTGGAAGGAAAAGCTTTGGCAAACACTGAAAACGACTGCATAAAGGGGAGGGACTTCAGAGCAGACAGGTCTGTGAACAGCAACTGACTGTGAACAAGCAGCAGTCCTTCAGAAAACATTTAAATGCAAGTGACAGAAACTGAAAAGACTTAGAAGGGAATAATCAGAACTTCTGTTCACTTCCTGGAGGAAGAAATGTGCTTTTATCATTTATTTGCTTAATTACCACTTGCTCTCCAAAGACATTTCCACACCATGTCAAACGCAGCCCAACCGTATAGGTTTTACCTTTCAAGCATCAGGCTTCTTCATACCTGTACAACTAGAAACAGCCTTTCAAATTTGCATTACTTTTCAATGCTTAGCAAATTACAGTTAGTTCTGCCCACAGCCTTGCCAAGCACTTCAGCTGACCAGCTTCCTACGCCGCAGCCTCCTGCCAGGCTGAAACCACGCACACCCAAACAAACCCGCCAGCACCCCTTTGGCCACCGCAGGGCTTCGAGGGCGCTTCAAGGGAGGCCGGGGCGCTCTCTGGCAGCCGGGCCGTGATTAACCGAGCTCAGGCCTGGATGCCCGCCGGGCACCGGCTCTCCCGGGAGCTCTCCCCGGCAGCGGGGCCAGGACGGGCGGAGCAGGGCGGCTCCGGGGCCTCGCCCCAGCCCCAGGCTCGACGCCCTGACGCCCGCGGAGGCCCCACCGCGGCTCCCTCCCGGCCAGCCCGACCCCGGGCAGCTCCCGGCAGCTCCCCTCACCTTCTCTTGCAGCTTTCGCACCAGCACCGCTTGCCGCTGCTGCGCCTCCTCTGAGCTCTGCAGCCGGCGCCACAGAGAGGCCTGGCTCCGCGCCGCCTCCCCGTCCCCGGCCGCCATCCCCCGGTCACCCGGCCCGGCCCGGCCCTGCCCGCCTCAGCTCCCGCCGCCCGGGCGGCTCCGCCCCGCCTGCCGGGCCCCGGGCTGAGGCGGCCGCGGGGTGGCTGCCGCCGGGGCCGGCAGCGGTTTGGGTGCGGGCACCGATCTGAGGCGCCCCGGGCAGCGGGCCGGGAGTGAACGGAGCTGCGACCCCGGCTCCACAGGCAGGGCCTCACAGCAGCAGGGCGAGGCGGCTGGACGCGCAGAAGGCGCTGCTGAGCTGAGAGCTTCTCTGAGCTTTCGCAGCGAAAACAGAGCCTTCAGATAGCAGTTAGCAGGTCATGGCTGCTACCCGTGATTTCACAGTTCCAGCTGCGTCTCGTTTTTCTGACATGGCAGTTAAGGGTGTCTAGACAGTCACCTTCAGTGCAGTGGGAACCTAAATGGTGAGGTGGATTCACCGCCATGAATAGCTAGAGGATTGTTAGAAATCCAGGCAAAACCAGAAATATTCAAAACTGGGTGAAGTGTCTCATGAAGGGTTGCAAAAAAGGGTTTGAGGACATAGCAGCAGCTGGCTGAGGAGGCCTGCCCAGCTGGAGAGCAACATTGGTATAAACGGTGGCAGGGAGCTGCCCGTGCTGTGCCTGTTCTTGTGTCAAAACGATGACGAAAACTAGGAGTGGCTCAGAAAACAACTGGGTTCTGAAAACTAGCTTCTCACGAAGAGGCAGAGGTTCATTTAAAATATAAATCCTTGTCAAGTGAGACAAAAATAGAAAATAATGCTTTATTTTTGTTTGTTTGACCTGCAGCTAGATGAGTCCAATGTACAAATATAAATGAGTTCAATCTACAAATAAGGTGCCATTATTTATATATACATATATATACATATATATATAATACATATATATTTATGTATACAGCAGTGCTGCCAGGCATGTGGATCATTTTATGCTGTCTCAACTTTTCTGTCTTTCTTAATGGAAGTGCTGCTCTGTAAGTGCTGCACTCCTGTCAGTGATATGCAGAAGCATGAAGATGGAGGCCTGTGGCCATGCCTCCCAGAAATGAGAAATACTGGCATGCAGATTCTGCCAGAAGCAGTGTCCGGTGTAAATTATTTAAGTGACAGGAATAATTGGTAATATGTTTTCAGAGCTAAAGGAGTCCCCAGGGCTTAGCTCAAAGGAACTCACACCTCTGTCTCTGCAAGGGCTCACTCTCAAAGTCACAGCAAGCCTCTCGATGTCTCTAACCACGTGCACGTCCCTCCCAGCTGTGCCAGGACACAGCAGCTCTGAGCACTTCAAGGCTCCTGAGGAAAGGAGGGCAGGTGAAGGCTGAGATGGATCTGCCCTTGTTTGTCAGCTCCATCCCCAACAGGAGCAGCAGCCAAGGCATGCAGCCTGTCCCACTGTCCTGGTACCTACTGTGGAAATGGGAGTTCTCCAGCCTCGCTAGCAAAATGCTGTGGTCCCAGCTGGGTTCTTGCTGTAGGACTTGATTCCCAGTGGCCCGGGGTCCTTCTTCCTGTGGTGTTTCAGGTGAACTTCTTGCACAAGGCCTCCTGTGATTCTTTCTAGTTCATTATCTTCTTTTAAGACTATTTAGATCCCAAGACTACTGTCTTTCAGTTGATTCCAAGTGTCATCCAAAAATGCTGTTTCCTTTTTTTGTGCTCTGCCTGGCTTTCTGGACTGACCACCATCATTGGACTGACCATCTGGACTGACCACCATCATTGCAGCAAACAGGTACTTTTTATTGCTAGTGCTCTTGAAGCAGGATGCGTGGGACACATCCAGTCCTGGGCTCCCTGGTACAAAAAAAGACAGGGATCTCCTGGAAAGAGTCCAGCAGAGAGCCCTGGAGCATCTTCCCTACAAGAAAAGGCTGAGAGACCTGGGTCTGTTCAGCCTGGAGAAGAGAAGACTGAGAGGGGATCTTACCGATGTTTATAAATATCTGAAGTGTGGGAGACAGAGGGATTTGGCCAACCTCTTTTCAGTGGTTTGTGGACAGGACAAGGGATAAAGGCCATAAAATTGAACACAGGAAGTTCTGCACTAACATGCGAAAGAACTTCATGACGAAGGGTGACGGAGCACTGGAACAGGCTGCCCAGGGAGGTTGTGGAGTCTCCTTCTCCGGAGATATTCAAGACCTGTCTGGACACCTACCTGGGCGGCCTGCTCTAGCCATTGTTCAAAGGCTATCCAAGTCTTGATAACCAGTGACACAATTCTTTCCTCAGACTGTAATTTCCTATTTATCATTAGGACATTTTAGGGCTTTTTAAAATTATGCCACAATTTCCTTTGTTACTAGGAATTTTATTACTTTTGTTTTGCTCCAGCCCCAAACAAGTCTTTTTTTTTTTTCTTTCTTTTTTACTTTTTTTTTTTTTTTTAATCTACAGCATCTCTTAATTTTCTGTAATTCCTTCCTTTCAAAAAAGAAAGACAGAACTGCTGAATTCCTCCCCAAAATTAACTGCAGATTTTTAAAAGTCACTCTTGAAAAAGCTTTGGTGTAGAAATCCAAGTTCTCACAGAAACAGAATATTAGTTGGTTTCAATAAGCAAAAGCAATGTGTCAGCGAGTGGGGCTTAACTTTTGGAGTTTATTTGGCTAAATCTGTGAAATGTTCCTTGGCTGCCTGTTGTGATCCCTTCCTCTAGCCCATCCAGGATGTCCAGAGGGACTCTCAGAGCAGTTTGTTTGAGAAGCTGGCACAGGTTCTGTAGTCAAGCTCCTTGGAGTTTGGCGAACAGGAGGCAACCCCATGGGGTGGAAACCCGAGCTGCCCTCCTTCTTCAAGTCCCCAGAACACTGAGAGAGGAGCTGCCCCTACAGAATGGGCCACTGCAGGGCGGACGAGTGGGTGGTATGAACTCAGCTGCTCAAGTGATGCACATGCCCTTGGCCAGTAGTGAGAAATAACAGGCCTTGAGCATCCTCTTCCACTGTCCTGTAGCTGGGCTAAAGCCTGCACGAGAGAGGGGTTTTCCATCTACATATTGAAGATACCAGGGAAGCTTGAGCTTAGCCTGAGCTAAGCATGGTCGCCCCACATTAGCAGAGGGCCGCAGTCAGACACCCTGTTGCACGGGTGCTGTCTGGGGCCAAGATCCCCCTCTAGGAGCCATGGGGCTCTGTGCAGTGACTGAGCATTTAGAGGGACAGCATCTCAAGAGAGACTGTTTGAAAGATAGAGAATAGTTTGCACAGTTTCTGCTTGCTTTTACTCTTTTATTTTATTTTTATTTTTTTCTGTGTTGGCCTGTCCAATCTATGAAGACATCTAATTCCATGGTGAGATGAGGACCTGATTTACCCCTGTTGTGTGCATTCTTTTACTTGCTGCTACTGGCAAAGTCAATTTTTTTCTTGTGTAATAAAATCCATAAATTGATGGGTATATTCATCTCAGATATGCAAAGATTGTTGGAACATTTGATTGATTCTGGTTTTAATCAGATTTACTAAGAGACAAGGCATATTTACACGGTCATACCTTTTGCTCTTTCCTGTCCATCAACCCAAATCATTTGTGTATCTGCAGATCTCAACCAAGTTTGACAGAGCGATAGAGATCTGAAAGATACTAAATTTTTATAATGTTTGTGAAAACTGGAAGCTTGTTAGAATAAAAGCGTGAACACAACATTTAGCTGTTTTTGTGGCCTGATGGCTGGTGAATACTCCCATAGTGCAGAACTGGTGCTACACACTGCATTTGCCTGCTGGAGTGGTACTGTGAGAAGGAGGAAAGGATGTCTTGGCTTAGAGGACATGGGGACAGTGTAAAGGAATTGCTCTGGAATGGGTTTGTAGGATGTAACTCAGGGAAAAGCTGCTTTGTTTTGATAGGGAACATCAAAACTACTTCAGAAGAATGGGAATTAGGCCAAAATCAGGAGGGTGTTTTTTTTTGTTCTACCTTATTTGGGACATCTGTGTAATCACTGAATTTTTTCTACCTTTCAGTTCCTCCACCAAAATAAGGCAAAGCATTTTGAGCTCCTCATGTAGAAAGGGCTGTTGTTATTTATGAAAGTAATTTGGTGTATCTGATACTAGTCAGGATGGGAAATGCTACAGCATGTGCAAATCAATCTAAAATTTAAGTGTTACATCTATTCCATTTATTCTTGCTTTAGGAATAAGACCAACTAGGGGGAAGAAGTGGGCTAAGCATCAGTGGAGGGTGAGAGAAGAGTCCCATTAATCTCTGTTCAATACAGCCCATGCCTCATTTCCCGAAGCCTCACTTAGAACAACAGCTTGTTTTCTGTCACACATGCTTTGTGCTCCCTTCTGTAAAGCTGAAAGCAGCAGGATACCTTTCCCCTTTAAATAATGCTGTTTTCTAACTCCTAGCCTTCCCCTGGCCTTGGGGCAGGTGGCTCTTGATTTTTTTGCATCTAATTTTAAAACAAAGGGTGGCATCCATCTGCTTCTGGAAGAAAGAGTGGGGTTTTGGTGTGACCCTGGCTTCCCAAGCATCTCCAGGTGGCAGGAGCCTGGCTGCCTGCAGGGTGCACTGCTGGCACAGGCTTCTTCTCAAACTGGGCTTATTAGGTTCTTTTTAAAGCATAACAATAAATATGCCAAAATACACCGAATGTGGGCATGGCCATTTTGCATTTATACAAAATTAAACTTTACCCTTGCTAAGTGCCTGTATTATTGGCTAAGTCATCAGAGGACAAAGTGAAGCTGCTGTTACAGTGCTCCAGAAAAAAAAAAAAAAAGAGCTAAACGAGTTATACTTAGAGATTTTAATGTATGTGTTGCAGTGGACTGTATGACAGATCTGTTGTTGATCTTGCAGTTTGTCCTGTTTAAACATGAAGTTCATCGAAGGCTAAGGTAGAGGTCGTATTGCCACTTGAAAAGGCATCCTCTGGAGTTTTGAGCCTGTGGAGTTGTTTCACATGAGGCAGAGTATGACTCATGCTAATGAAAAGGGCAAAGAAGATTTTTTTTAAGAAATATATCGCAGTTAAATTAGTTTAGACAGCATGACATCAGAGAGTAATTAAATAGGTTTGTTGGAATTCCGTTTCCAATTCCTGAGTTCAGGTTTGTAAAAGATTTCTGAGCACCTGCAGGTCTCTGTGTGTGAAATATTTTCACTGGAAAGGATTCAAAACTTTAAAAAAACCTTTTAACACAGAGGCAGCATTACGCCATTCTTCCTTCTTGGAAAAAAAAAAAAAACCCTCAGATTTAAACAGGACTCCTTCAAGTTTTCAGTCAGTTTTACAGAAGAAAACGAGGTGGTAAACTTTCTCTTTTCAAGAACAAGTTCTTTATAGCTGCTAACTGAAGTCAGGGGAGATCGTATCTGAGTACATGAGCATTTCCACTATGGGACTGGATACAAGTATTGAACAACGAGATTTGAAATGTTTTAATCTCAAACGAAAACCATTTTTGCTGACTTTGGTTTTTAATTTCTTTCATGTTTTCTTCTGCCAAACTGGAGGAACCTTTTCTGATTTTTTCTTTAGTGGCATTCAGAGGAAGACCAGAGGATGAAAATCCTGCACTTTCTCACTTTACTGCTTTGGCATTTGACTTGGCTGTCTCTGGATCTAGTTCCTGGAGCACTGAGTAATTCTGAAGCAGGCCAGAGTAATCCAGGATCTAAACTAGGTTTGTTAAAAACAGAAGGAAAAGAGAGGAGTCCCTCAGCTCGGGCAGGTACACTGCGGACTGTGAACCATGGATACAGTACTGGCACCTCAAAGGCTAGGACTAAAAGCAGTGCTACTCAGGCTGGAGCTCTCTTGGCCAAGAATGATGAATCACAGAAGGTTCTCTCAAGAACAGCAGCCACGGAGGCAAAGGTAGGACATCTCCCAGGCAGACTTTCTGGAGTAAGGACAGTGACTCCAAAGGTTCAAAATCTTAGCAGCAAGGCGGCTTTGAAAAAAACTGGCACAAGCAGCACTGATTCTTTCAAAACCAAAAAGACTAAAGAGCCTATAACCCAAAGGGAAACTAAGGAGACTTTCAGACATCCCCCTATAACGCCACATGAATACATGCTCTCTTTGTACAGGACTCTCTCAGATGCAGAAAGAAAAGGTGTTAATGGAAGTGTAAAACTGGAGGCTGGACTTGCCAATACAATAACCAGCTTTATAGACAAAGGACAAGGTAAGAAAGGAGCTCGTGTGTGTGTGTGTGTGTGTGTGTGTGGACAGAGAGGGACTTCTGAGCATGTTTATACGTATGGAGAGTGTTATTAGAAAGTAATTGTACATTGTTTAAGTCAAAAAGCTCTTTTTAATGTATATGAAATCATTCAGCTTTGCTGCAGATTTTGTCCTCATGCCTTATCTTGGCAAATTCATCTAGAGACAGAACTAGATGGTTGTGTGGCAGCCAAACAAAACATTAAGAAAATATTTTAGAAGCATGTTGTTGAAAATCCATCAGTCCTTGCATGTATAGGTGTATAAAAATTTTACTTTTTTTTTGACTTATGTTTTTTCCATAAGTAGCTCCTGGAAACTGGTAACATCAGATTTTATTGTTATGTTGAGAACAGGGCTATTCTGTGGAAAAAATAAAAATAAAAATGTTTCATTACTGAAGGTTCACCCAGATTTGTTCAAAGTAGAGTTGGGAGGAACTGCACCGTAGACCCAGGAGTCATTATTGTGTAGCTTTGGTGTATCTGTAGTAGCTTGAAGCTCATGCTTTCAGGCACCACCAGCCTTCTAACCAGAGAAGCTCACAGCTAAGCACGGGATAATCAGAGCAAACAACTTCTGGAACTCCGTAATTTGCAGTTCTACATTATGGTTCCAAACTTTTCTTGGAAATCTGGACTAGTGTCTGCTTTCACACAAGAAACAACCAGGCTCCCAAAGAAAGATGTTTACCTGATCACTCTGGTTGGAGAATTAGCTCCATGCTGTTTCCAGTGACGTTAATAAGAACTTTGTCATGGGCTTAAGGAAGCAACACAGGCTGACAGCAAATAAAGTAATTGTGATGGAAGGCTCAGCCAGGACTGGATTTGTCTGCCATTTAATTAAGAATAGCTTGGCTTCTAGGAAGGGATGACACGCTGCTCGCAAGTGCTGCATTTCAGTCCTCAGCTTGCCACTGGAAAGCATTGTTAATGTAATGTCGATAGTGTTGGCTCAGCCATACTCCTCATTAGCACTACTCCTGAGCTTAACTAAGCAAATGTAGCATCAGGTAGCATCAGCAAAGGGAGGTATGTTTTTCTGCCCAATTTGAGAAAGTCGTGAATCATGTGGAGTTAAGTTAATAAGGCAATTATCCTTGTGTCTGGCAGTTCCTGGGGGATGTTGGTTTTAAAGGACTAATTCACTATTGTATTGTTTAAGGGTACGGTTGCTCATATTTGGAGCCAGCATGAGGCCTGGGCTCCGCTGAAGTCCTGCTTCGGTAATTTATTTGAGATGCAAGTGGTGAATAGGCCCTGTGAGTGCTCAGCCCTTATAAAGAACTATTTTCCAATTGGCTAATTGCTACTTTAAAGCTAGAAAATTCCCGCTGGTAAATGAAATGGCATTTCTACAGGGCAAACTCAGAAACTCATTTCCCCGTTGAGTCACTGAATATTTCTGGGTCCCTGCTCACAGCTGATCCCTTAGACAAAAATTGTTCTTTCTGTTTAGTGGGCTAATTAAGGGAAATTGTAGTCTTATGAGCAAACTTTTGGGACACCATGAAGAACTGAAAAAACAAAATTGGTCTGTGCTTGATATACATTTTAAAATGTGTGTGCTTTTTGTTTTTTTAGATGAGCGAGCGCCAACTATAAGAAAACAAAAATATATTTTTGATATTAGTGCATTAGAAAAAGATGGCTTGCTGGGAGCAGAGCTTCGAATATTGAGGAAAAAACCTTCTGATACTTGGAAGTCTCATTCTTCTGGAAAAACTTCCCAAGTGAAATTATTTAGTTGCTCTACCAACAGACAAGCAGCAACACTCCTGGACTCTCGCACTGTCAGTATCACAGATACACCGAAATGGGAAGTGTTTGACATCTGGAAGCTTTTTAGGAACTTTAAAAACTTAGTTAATTTGTGTTTTGAACTGGAAACTTTTGACAGGGGGAGAGCTGTTGATCTCAGGACTGTGGGATTTAATAGAACTGGAAGACAGGTCAATGAAAAGGCTCTCTTCTTGGTATTTGGGAGGACAAAAAAAAGAGACTTATTTTTCAATGAAATCAAAGCTAGATCTGGCCAAGATGATAAAACCGTTTATGAGTACTTATTCAATCAGAGGCGGAAGAGAAGAGCTCCTTTAGCAACACGTCAGGGGAAGAGGCCCAGTAAGAATCCGAAGGCAAGGTGTAGCAGAAAAGCCCTCCATGTGAATTTTAAGGATATGGGCTGGGATGACTGGATAATAGCCCCCCTAGAATACGAAGCGTATCACTGCGAAGGTCTTTGTGAATTCCCCCTTCGATCCCATCTGGAGCCCACCAATCACGCAGTTATCCAAACTTTAATGAACTCAATGGACCCCGAATCAACGCCCCCAACTTGCTGTGTCCCAACCAGGCTGAGTCCTATCAGCATTCTTTTCATTGACTCTGCAAACAATGTGGTCTACAAGCAGTATGAGGACATGGTAGTGGAGTCGTGTGGCTGTAGGTAGCAGAACAGTTGCTCAAGGGAATACGTTATGACACAGGTTATATGACACACCAAAGGTTATATGACACACCAAATGTAACCTCTGCTCAAACAAGGTTAACTTAATTTCTTACCTCTAGGGTACGTATGTTTACAAAGATGTAGCAACAAATCCAGTGATTCTGTATATCTCTCCTCCATGGGCATATTTTAGAATATTTGGATGCTATCATGCAGCCCAATATAAAGACTTGTTTTGGCAACACAAGACTGGTTCTTACTAAAGTTTGTGTCAGAGAAGATGAAACCTTTGTGCCTCTATATCACCTGCTTTTACCTGGAGACAGTGTGTAAAGATGGTATCAGTGAGCTGTGGATATGATGTTTACTCTCTTGAACAATGTTCTAGATGCTGAATTTACGTCCCATGTGCATTATCCATTAAGAATCGTAAGAAAAAAGTACTGATATCTAAAAAAGAAGGTTGGTGTTCTGGCATGCTCCCATCTTGGTGTAAATAGTTATGCTGTAATATGATTTCTTTCTGATTAGCTCTTGAAACTATGCATATATAAAATGAAATAATTAAATATAATATGCTGATTTAGTTTTAATTTGTACATGGAGATAGGTGAAGCAAGAGGTGTTTGTTTCCATGTAAGTTTTCCTCCAAGCTACATATCTTTCTTAAGTATCCACCTTTCCATTATTATGTAGCAAGATATATTACTCTGTATAAGGCCCACGTTGTTCTCAAATGCTCATAGTAAAAGTGTTCAATTATGGCATAAGATGTAATAAATTATTGACACAGTGCTACATTTTGTCCAGCTGTCCAACTCTGCATAATTATAATGCTGTTAAGAATTTGTTTTAATGTTTTTATACAATAAATGCAAGTGAAAGGGATTTTTCAGTATAGCAGAATAGTAGTGGTGTGCGTAACATGTTCATGTATCTTGGTTGCCTCTAACTGCTGCTGCAGAAAGAGACTGTGGAAACATTGGAAGAACAATCTGAAAACGTGTCATGTTTTGATCTAGCGTGGAATGACACTATCACTTGATGTATCTCGTGCAAGAATGCACCATGCAGTTGATTGCAAAAGAGCTCTGTTATCCTTTTATTCAACCCTCCAATGACTGTGTTTGCATATCTCCTATATCTGTTCTAGACCTGGATTATAAATTTATTCTGGGATTATTCTTTATATGTTTCCATCTACAAAACCAGATGCCAGACATTTGACCGCAGAAGGATCAGACAGGTCATGAGAACCATCAGAAATGATTGAAGTCTGCCCTGCACATCATCACTGGCATTGGCAGTGACAGCGAGGTGAATATGGCCCCTGAGGTCATCATGCATTTACCCCAGGCTGAACAACATCTAACTCACACTAGCAGCAAACTGTCCTAAGCACCCAGTCAATAGCCATAGAGAAATAGTAGCAAAAAGTTCTGCCCTTCCTCCTGCTCTCTCTAGGCTGCTGAGCCTGTAACCAGCTCAAAATACCTGGTTCCAGACATGTGGAACCAGGTATGCTCCCCTGGGCATACAGGCCAGTCATGTACCACAGCCTACAGCAGGGTGATACAGAAAAAAAGCGCTGTGGGAAGCATTCATATGTGCAATCTCTTTGCAGTAGTTTAGCACGGTGATTTCTGCCTGCAGGACTGGATATTACTCAGCCCAGGCTATTCAATAACACAACATGAGGTGGGTCAGAATGCTGGAGGGAGAATGACTAAACATCGGGGTAATACGCATTTCAAATGATGAGCTCTTGAAGCTGCTCAGTAACATGTGCATGAGAAATTCTGTCATACAGATCTGGTTTGTGGCTCAGGGCTGTCCCTAGGGTTCCCGGGGTCAACGCTTCCCAGGTCCTTGTCTTCTCCTCCCAGCTGAATCTCAGACCAGGACAACGGCTTCTGGCCCAGCCCTGACTGCCAATCTACTGACTTTCAAGTTATTGTATGAATTGCAAAACCAGGAGTTTTAATCATAAGCTTTACTACAAGCTTATCTTGACGTGTTTTACCATTGTCACAGTAGAAGAGAAAAGTTTCTCTTGCCCAGTCCCAAATCAAGAGGGTGTTTCATACTCTTTTTTTTGCCGATTCTACTCAAGCATTTCTCATCTTTCTGCTGCCTGTTTCCTGGGTAACTAGCCTGCAGCTTTTCAGGCTCCTTTCTCTAGCACTGAGCACAGCTGCCTTCTGGAGAGGTTGGTTAGATGACCATGAGAAAGGGTTGTCTTCTTCCTCCTTGGTGTGAAAGAGTACTGCTCCCCATGTGGGTGTCTGTTTGCAAGTTCCTAGTGAAATCTCTGTTCCCACATATGATGGACACAGCTGTGCCATTCAGTCTATTAACAGCACAGGTGCATCCCTTCCTGGTTCAGGTCAATCAGTTTAAAATAGCAAATACTGCCTATGTAAATTTACTTGAAGCAAACCTAAGAGACAAGTTAATGCTTGGAATTGTAGCTAAGCACCACCTTTCTAAAAGGCACTTTGCTTCAGTTCCAGCTGGATTCATGAGATGCAGCTTCCTTTGAAGGAAGGTAGCATTTGTGTTATTCGTGTCACACAATAGTTTGGAAATCTGAGGAGGAAAATTGCTTGGCATTTCAGGCTGCAGAGTTGTTGGTCAACCTGATGATCCTGGTGAGGCTGGCCATGATAAAGCATTTTAGAAACCTACTTATCACTTAGTATCACTTGTTCCCTGCCCTTATATGAATTTCTCAATACATTAATAGAACAAGAGAAAGATTCAGATACGTGGTAATGAAATTGAGTGTATCAGCATCTAAATGGAAAACAAAACAAAACAAAAAACTAAGATTTTGCAATTATCCCAAAGCAAACAGTATGAACCAAAGAATAATTAAAACAAACACAAATGTGTAAAGACCTAAAAAAGAGTCCTTTGGTACTGATTCAAAAACCAAAATTCTGGTAAGCAGTAGTTATATTTTGAAAGGAGAAACCAACCAACCAAACAGAAACTAATTGATTTTTAATACCATTTTAAACAAATTTGAAACTACAGACAATTAAATGCTATAATTAGAAAGGATTATTACCACATCAAAATTGCCAGATTTTGGGTTTGGTCCAGATAGAAGTAATTTCAACCTGAGTGTTTGGACTAGGTGGTGACCCAACATCCACCTTGCTCAGCTGTTAGCTCGGGTGACCTCCAGAAGGGGAAGTCCTGTCAAGTTTGGTCCGGCTCTAAGTGAGGAGTTTGTAACAGTGGGCTTGGTAGACAGCAGGATGAAGACAGTTATTTTCACTTTTATCTCTTAAATTGAGTATTGGCATATAATGCTGTTTGTTGTGATACCCAGAGTATCCTTTTGCATTTACAGTACTGAAAATGTTTGATAACTCCAGGAATTCTGGTTCAATGCTATTTTATTCTGGAGTGGTCTACTAACTTTCACTGTGGTATAATCATATGCTAACCTATCAGTGCTTTATCACTGTATTGTTTGAGCCACTGGGATCATCTGGTACAGACTTCTGTCTCTGTAATTAATCATAAAATACTGAATGGTTATAATCATATAAATATACAGTGTTGAAAGGAGTGAACTCTTTCACTGCTCTTCTCAAAGAAGTTTCTGTTATTCTTAAATCACATGAAATTTCAACAGCAACGTAAAGAGGCACCCACAGTGAGCTGTCCTTTATGTATCTACATATATATATATATATATATATAAATATATATATATAATCTGAATTCCATGTATACATTCATTTTCTGTTCACAAACCATTTCAAATCTTCTCAAGTTTTCACATGGGAATAATCTGAGTTATCTGGAGTGAGACCAGAAACTTGTATTGAAACTTCACAAGCCATGTGAAGGTGGCTATTACACGTTTTCATTATCACAGACAAGCCTAGAAGTACAACCCAGCTGGACTTGTTCAGACCTCATGGCTCTCTGAAAGCAGACATCCAGGGACTGGGCACCACCTGGGACAGACACACAGCAAAGAAACTGGAAAGAAACAGAGGAACTTGGAATTGCACAAGTTGGTCCTGCTTTCTTTAGCATGGTCATTATACAATGTGCAAAGATAGACACCCTAAATTGTTGTTACGGTTTTCTTCCCATGGGTGAGTTGGTGTTAGCAACTGGATGGTAGAAATGCACAGAAACCTGATCTGTAAAGTAATACAGGTTAAAAGTTCAGCTTTCCACCTTTATGATGGCAGGTTTCACTCTCTCACTGAGAATGCCTCATTTATATTTACTTTTTAGGGTCATTATCTGTCCCATGAGAGTCTTTGTGAAGGTCCAAATTTCAAATAAACAGTACACTATAAGACAGGTATGTGTGGATAATTTTTGTTGTATTTGGCTAAAATATGGGTACTAAGCTGAATAGGTAAACATAAAAGTATGCCATTTAAAACAATGCATTCCCATTAGTGTTTGAATATGTGCCTAAACTCCATGTACACTTTTACATGGTTATGTCATTTCCTGTGTAAAATGTGCTTGTTTATACAGCAGCCATATGAAAGATGCAGTAACCCGCTATGTGGGCTATTTGAAGCTTTCTTTAAGAAACATAAAAACCCCTTGACCCTTGTATAATAAAAGGTGTTAAAAGATACTGCTTTTATAACATCTTAGCCAAGACTAATAAGAATGTACAAAGCAAACAATTTTTTTTTACTTCATAGTCCTGGACAATCATGTGTTATTTTATGAATTTACTATTGCTGTTGGGTAGTAAAGTGATATTTAAAAATAAAATTGCACAAGCTTTCATTGCTTCTCAACAAATTTAATAAAGAAGGAAATCTCAACATTTTTTGAAAAACAATAAATACAGTGCAATAAATATACTTTGCTGACTGCTCAGAATAATCCATTTATTGTCATCTCAAGTTTTCTGATGTCCTTTTTTTTTATTATTTTTTTTTTTTTTCCTGCAGAATTAGTTTCAATTTTCTGCAATGATTAGGTTAGCTGAAGTAATGCAGCTGGATTCTGTTTTCCCTGGTATCATGGTGAAGGGCACAGCTGTCAAGAGAAATGACTCCGTAAGTGGTAATCAATTGGCTGACTCTCTGCTAGGGGACACGAAATGTCTTTTTTTTGCTTGTTTTCTCTAGGAGTCTGCTCACTATAATATCTTGTGCCAGGCTTTGCCATTCAGGAATCAGTGCTGAGCAGACTCTGCCCATTGTAGTGACAGAGAAATGCCATTACAATGAGTGTTATGCTTCAGTATATTCAGAAAGTGTCTGCTTGTTTTTGACATGATGACACTTATTATTGGAATAAAGTTAGGAACAACCATTTTTGAAATTGATAAAATCAGCCACATTTCATTTTTGCTTGTGCAAATGGCTTCAAAACATTGATCATTCTCCAGAAATACTGAAAGAGAAACACAGCTTGGGTCCTCCACAGGATTAGAGAAGGGAGTCTATATCTTCATAGCAATCTTTTCTGTGAAGGTGCAATAAGACTCATAAATTTTAGATGGTAAGGAAGTCCTTAGCTCATATTGTTAGCAGATTACAGGAGCCCAGAGAGAGGAGAGAAAAGGCTAATGGCAGTGTGGGGAGAATTGCAAGCCACAGGAGGTGCTCCAAAGAAACACCCAAGGGAATGTGGCTTGCGAGGAAGGAGTTGGGGAGAACTGGCTTTTGGGGGAAGGCAGCACTTGCAGAATGGTGAAGGACTAGAGTAGCTGAGGACTGGCCAATAGATGGAAAATAAAGATGGACTGAATACAGGATCATGGAGTGAATGCATACCCACATGAAACAAGAGCTGGGTTGCAGTGCTGCTGGTGGAAATAGGAAGGTCCACAAGCCAAACAGTGAAACAAACTTTTTTTTTTTTTTTTTCCCTGAGGGCTTATTGTGAGTAATTCTTTCTTCTTTCCACTTGCCACTGGCTTTCAGGGCTTTGCTCAGAGATTTGGTCCAGAAGCTGCTGAAGACTTAAAGCAGGAGGAAGCTGCTGAAACCCAGCAAAGTCAAATGGCTTCTGCCAGTGGCCCTGTGCAGCCAGAAGCATCGGTAGCTTTAGCATGAGTACAGACTGTGGCCATGTGTGCTGCTGGGGGAGGTCCAAAGTAACAGAGTTGAGAAACCCAAGTGTGAATGATGAGGCACTTTCATTTATGAGGTTTTTCAGATGGAT